AACGCGAGACCTGGCTGGTGACTCTTAATAAATTTAAATGTTCTTGTGGCCTCACGTGTGGCTTGAGCAGAACTGCGAACTTTCTCGGTTTTCTCCGGGCAAGGTAACACCCTAAGCCCAAACAGATGTGGTGCCTTCTGCACGAGCCATTTCAGGGAGGGAGTCTTACACCGTGCCTCCTCCGCGCATGATACCCTCCAGCTGGGGGTTCCACCTAGCTCACCTAAGTTTCTCTTGCCACTGCTTAATGCCTGGCCTCATTTCCCTGTCTTCAGCTAAGTTGTCAGTGGCTTCTCTCCTTCTGTTTATCTGTTCGCTAAAAATCAAACAAGCACAAGCCGTGCTGTGTCTGACGTGGGGTGTGTCCAACCCAGAGCTTGTCACTGACAGGGGCACAAAACCAGATTTGGGGAGAATATAAGAGTCTGTCTCCATGCTACCACCTTTAACATGCCAAGCCCCTCTAAGAACCCATTTGGGATCTCCCATCCTGGTTTATCCAATTCTTTCTTGACCTGACATCTATTTCCAGCCTGTACCACCTCTTGGGTCACCAGTTCTATTGCTTGATTTCCTTTTATTCTCTGACTCAGTGACTGGAGATGAAAAGATTTCTTTACATGTTACTCTCAAACCACCAGACTGGGGTCATATTACTCTTAGTAATGATAGTTGCTATTTATTAAATATTTACGAGGAAACGTACACCTTGCCAAGTGCTTTGCGTGCATTTTCTCAATTAAGAACGCTATGAAGAGGTATTAGTATTCCACTTTACAGACGAGACTTGGCGAGCTTTAGCAAGCTGCCTGAGGCCCAGGAGGGGCTGGGTTTGATCCCAGGTCGCAGTCTCCCATCCCAATGCCATGGCCCTGGAGGAGGGAAGGCCAAAGTATTGTGGCCTTTCAGAGACGGGACACTCACACGATCTCTGGTGACCAGCCAGGTTTTCCTGTGACTGGGGGTGGGTGTAGCAAGTGAGGAGGGTTTGGAGTCTGTTTTTGAAGCACTGGGGTGGCGGGAGCTGGGTGGGTTAGTAACTGCTCTTACATTCACTTCAGGAGCGACGGACCTACATCTGGTTCTACAGGATCGACAGTGTGGCCGACAGAAGCTCTGTCGACATGCAAAGCTCTAACGGTGACTTGGGAAACACGGGAGAGCTGAGAGTTTGTTCCAAGTCAGAATGTAGCAATATTCCTACTTTATACGAAAGAATAAAGGCTGGAGCGGAAGGCCTTGGTCTTCTCAACAAAGGGCAGGCCTCGCTCAGGGCACCCGTGTGCGAAAGGGTGCATGCCCGTGGGCAGCTGAGCAGGGCTTCTGCGTGGCCCCTTCTTTCCCACCGCTGAGGGGAGACTCAGCTCCATGCCCACCCCCGTCCGGCAATGTCTCACACCCTCTGGGAGAGACCTTTAAACATCTTGTCCGGGGTCTGATCCGGAAATGTCCCCCTCATCTAGCAAAGGCTGGGAGAAGCTCAGGTCCACCTCTGTTTTTAAAGATCCTAGTAATACATTTTTCTAAAGTAAAGAAATGCAAAACAGGGTTCCTGGCTTGGTTTATAATTTTCAATGTTTAAATTAACAAAACAACTCCTTTTAACACAAAGAAAAAACATAATTGTGCTAGTCACAAGATCACTGTAGGATTTATGAACTAATCGTAATTCAGAGAGCCCTAGAGGTCCTGTGATCCAGCCAGTGTATTCCTCTGAGTGCAGAAGCTCATTTGGAGATCAGGTCGGTAGCGTTCGATGCCTGCTGTGAATTACCAGAAGGTGTGACTTGAGCCAAATGGCCCTCCTGGCTTCCCTGTGATAGCCACCACCACAGAGAAAGGGACAGGCTCCAACTGCAGCCCCCCACGCGCTGCCCTTTCTATAAAATAAAACTTTCAAGTCGGTATCAGCTAATTTCAAAAGAAAAAAAAATTGTTTTAAATTCCCCCTTGCCCCAGAAGCAAGAGAGAGTAAGGAAGCAAATACTTTAGGAGAACCTGAATGCCTGAGCCTTTTTACGTATATTATTTCGTAGCTCTCACGACTGCCCTGAGATGGTGTAATTTACGCATTATTCAACCCCTTTGTGTCTCAGGGAAATAATTCGTCCAAGATCACCTAGCATATCCAGGATTAGAACCTAGATCCTTTGACTTCAAAGCCTGAGCTCCAGTCTGATCATGCCATGGAGCCACACGAAGCCCAGGAGGAGCCCAGTGGGGCTGGAAGGGGACCTGGCGTGGCCACTCTCCTCCGTGTCCCTACGGTGTCGGGGCAAACTTTGACCTTTCTAGATCTTTTCACTGTTTCTTTCTCTTTCCGTTTCTTATCCTGGCTGGCCGGCCCCCCACTCTGCTCCTTGTTTATGATACTTATTTTTCCATCCACAGCAAAATAATTCACATCAAGGTAATTGATCATGAGGCGCATGAGAAAAACAAGAATTACTTCATTGAGATGATGGGCCCCCACATGGTGGATATGTTTTCAGAAAGGTGTAGCACCCAGTCCTGCACACTAACGTTAGCATCTCCTCTCCTCTTCTGTTTCCTCCTTTCTCCAATCCGTTTGTCTCCTTCTCTTCCCCTTTCTTCTGCCTCTCTGGTTCACTGTCCCTTGTTTCTTTTCTGTTTCTCTCTTTTCCCCTCTCCCTCTCCCTCTATTCTCTCTGCACCCAGCTCTGTCCTAACACCTGCCAGCCTGTCACATGGTATTGTAAGAGGGATGCTCAAGACCCCATGGCAATTTTTTGTGGGATGGGGAGATGGATATGGGGGAAAAAAACGCAAGAGAGAGAAAGCGAGAGAGAAAAAACCACCAGCCACAGCCCTGAGAGTATCATATATGAGGCTCTCTGCTCCTCCTGAGTGGTTTAGGATACAAGGAAGAAAAAGATAGCGCAATCCCAGGCAGAAGGGCAGCCCTGGGAAACTGGCCCAGCTCTCAGCACAGAGATCTGTGGCGCAGCTCTTCTCAGGGCTAAGCTGATAGTCTCTGGATGTTGACAATCAATGTATTTGTATTTGGGTTCTGTTTGTGGTTCATCCCATTCCCCAAGACAGGCTTTAGGAATCCCTGCTAGCAAGTGTGTTTTTCTCTCCCTGACCTTGATTGAGCTGAAAATACAGGTTTGAGTTCTAGATCTAGGTCAAAGGCCTACCTGCCGTCTTCTGTCTTCCCTCTGCAGGGCATCTAGGTGTGAAGGCAGTTAGAAGAGTGGGAGAGAGGATTCTGACCTGAGGTGAGGCTTCCCCAAGAAGTCACAGGACTTCTCAGAGTGGACGCAGTTTTGCCTTTGATTTGAATGGCCCCATACACCCCAGCCTCCAATAGACAGTCAGAAAATCCTCTTCTGGATGGATCATACTGTGGAAGGGGGAGCTGTCAATCGTGCTTCTCCAGACCATGCCCATGGTCACAGAGCAAGCACCCCCTTCCCATCCCACAGCAGAGTCCCTGCAGTGGAAAGACAGGCCAGGATCATATCACTTAGACAGCCCTAGAGTACCATATCTAGGGCAAGAGAGATTCCCAGAAAATGCTTCTCGACAATCAGTGAGCTTTGTCTTTTGTCCAATGAGCAAGGTGTGGAAAGGTGTCCAAAAAGTGCCCAGAAGGTCACACACACACACACACACACACACACACACACACACACCCCACAAATGCACAAAGCTGAGCCTGTCTTCAGAATGGAACAGGAACATCAGAGGCTCTGATGAGACTTTTTATGCTATGTTTGTTAGCATTTTTTTGCCCTTTAGAGAGCATTTAGGTCCCAGGCCAAAAAAGAAGAAAAAAAAAAAAGAGAGAGAGAGAGAGAGAGAGAGAAAAAGAAAAGAAAAAACCCCACAAAAATAAAACAAACAAAACCAAAAAAAGAAAAGCAGAAAATAACAATTAGGGCTCACTATTAGGACCCGTTGACACCACTGTGGTTCCATGAAGGAACAGGAGAAGCCACACAGGGAGACTCAGGCCCACATGGCAACTTTGCCAAAGACAACGGACCTGAGCCAGCCTCAGGCCAGTCTCTGGAAGGAAGTGATTTTCAAGAAAACTTTGCTTCCTCGTATGATTTGGTTTTATTAAAAGACACTGTGCTTTGTTGAGATACCCGGAAATGAACAGAAACCTCCATTATCATGTCTACCTGACCCTTGGTAATCGGCATTCAAGCCAGCTTTGGTACACATCACCGCTATATGATAGAAGTCCAAAGATGATTTAGAATTGATGATTTACATCATTTTTACCACATTTTTCAGGAGTGCATCAGCTGTAAATATTAAAGGAATACTACATCCTATCGTGGTTAATACATATTTATTTTACTTCCCACCACCGAAGCCCTGTGAGATAAAGAATGAGAAAGATAATAGAATTCTGCCTTCTTTCCTTCCCTTCTCTCTCTCTCTCTCTCTGGTTTCCCTACCTCATAAATACTTTCCTTTTAAGATTTTCTTTCTGAGGTCCACATAACAAGTGGGAATAGACACAAGGAAGGGAAAAAAAACCCCTAGACTGTTGACATATTTCCTGTTGTAGAAGAGCCCTGGGTCACCCCCGATGGGCCAGCAGTTCACCTACTGCCCAAAGAAATGCCAATTACCACGTGACACCCAGTGGAATGTGCTGCCCAGCTCACTTCCTACTAACCGTCAGCAGGATCGAAAATGACTCCTCCCCACCTTCAGCCCCCTTTTTCCTTCCCATTTCCCTCCTGTCCTTCTGGATCCCTTCCTTTAACAACTTTTCCTTGCCTCCTGGCTCCCTTTCCCTCTCACCTGTAAGGACAACTATGACCAAGGAGATAAGAAAAGCTAAGACCATTTTTGACACAAGAGCAATTCAATCCACCAAGTCCTGTCAAAAGCCACCGTGGCAGCACTGAGCTGCATGTGCCAGGAGTGATGGGGAATGATTTTGAAGGCTGGGCTCCGGGTGACCAACCAATCTACCGACCCAGTCGACACTCTCTCTCTTGTTGTCCCTACAGGAAAACCGTAAGGGTTAAAATAGTAGATGAGGAGGAATACGAAAGGCAAGAGAATTTCTTCATTGTCCTTGGTGAACCGAAATGGATGGAACGTGGACTATCAGGTGTGAGATTCTTAAAAACAAAACAAAACAAAATAAAACAACAAAAAGAAAAAAAATTTAAACAAGTTGAAAAGCAACAACAACAAAAAGAAACTATGTTTTTTTTCTCCCCCCTTTTCTTTCCTTTTCCTCCTTCCTCCTTTTGACCAATGGACTTGTTTTATTCTTTTCCCTCCTGTATTCTCGCTCTTACCCTGTTTCGGTACCATCTCTGCCTTCTTAGCCATAGCTTATTTCCACGTCCTCCTTTTTCACCTTTTGGACACACTGCAGCCTCAACCCCTCATGACCCTGACGAGTTACTTCTGCCTTGTGCTCCAATTATCCGATTACCAATGTCCCCTGCACTCCCCATCCTTACAGCCCCCCACCATACACACAGTCACCTGTAAATGTGCAAACTCCTTGGTGGGTGGGGAGGAGAAGATAAAGAAAGGAATGTAATGCGATGCATGCCTCTGCCCCTTCCCTGCCTTGTTCCCCTTCCACCCCTCACTCTCTAGCCCGGATTGAATGAGGGAGGGTCTGGGATGGGGGCTGGACCCCGTCTTGCCATGATGCTTTGAGTCTTCTGCTGCATCTCCCAACCTCCGTTGAGTGCTTGGCAGGTTATTCACTTGCAGAGTGGCCCATGGGCCCCTTTGTCCTTCATGGAGGTAAGTGTTTTATCTGGCTATTTCACAGTTGGGTAGAGCAAAACATGGAAAGGTACACCAATTGTCAGAGGCCACGCTTCTGAGAGCTCTCTGAGAGACAGCTGCCTTCTGAGCTAGTCGTGCAATCTGGAATCCTGAGCTGTTCATCCTTCCCTTGACATCCCACCCCATCCCACTCTACCTCTGTTCTAGCCCAAGGTAGGGTACTTTATTCAGACTACTTTAGGATAATGCAGTCCCGAAAGCAGAAAATTGAGTCTGCAAAAGGAAAGTGGTTAACTCCAGGTATGGAAATCTCCTTAGCCGGAGGGTCCTGGAAAAGGATTGACATTGGGCAGGCCCAGAGTATGGTCTTACAGGTTTTCCAATGGAAGGGACTCCAGTAGAAGGGTTTGCTTGTTGTTGATCTCTGAGAAACAGGTGTTGGACGGTTCACAGAAGTCTGCCTTGGCTTGACATCTGCAAATGAGCGTATCACCCAGGTCTTGAGATAACCCTCATCGCACACCAGAGACGTGGCCTCCTCTCCTCCTCTCCTCCTCTCCTCCTCTCCTCAGGCCCTGTATCTTGGGACACCTGCCTAAGGGACTGATTACATTGCAACCAAGGTAGTAGTAAGGAAAGACTTCTTCCCCTGAAGAAAATGGTTAGAAGCTACGACTTGAAAGTGTTGGAGGAATATATGTGGGTAAGAGTCCTCTTGGGAAATATCAAGAGGAGGTCATTCACACTCCCCTTCAGGAGAGATGTGCTGCTGGAACCTCATGAAGGATAGAACGGTGAGACCTACTTGTTTGTCAAAAAAGGTGATGATTCTGCAGCTACTTCATAGTCACGTGACAAAGAGCAGCACGAAGCCTTTCACTCAAGGACAAATCTAAGAGATTCAGCGACTATGCTCCCAAAGGCTCATGCCCAGGTCTTCTTCTCAGACACGAATGTTCAGTTCCCCTTGTCTTCTGGGGACTCTCTCTGCAGACCTGACCAGTTCTGTGCCCACACTGGTTTTACACCTGCTGTTGGAGAGGCAGAAGCCCTCTCTGCCTTCCATTATTCATCCTCTTGTTGGCCACCTAAGAAGATGTTGCCATGAGTCTGATTGCCAAAGAGTGCTGGAAGAAAAGAGAAAATCTCCAGTTCCCTTGCTTCCCAGATTGTGTTCCCGCCACCCAGAATATTTTCAGAAATTGTCTCAACACCTGCCCTACTTCATTCTCATCTCCCTTGTGCATTTAATGCACATCTTCATGATTGGATGGACGTAGCAGACACCTAAGGCCATTGTAAACTAGTGTCATCAATTTCCACAGTCCCAGCTACTTACGTGCAAATGAAAGCAGGACAAAGGATCGCACAGGGTAGCTGAAAAGAAGGCAGTCTTCTCCAGACAAGAAGAATGGGTTGGAAGTCCATCCATGACTTTATTCTACCGGTAAAGAGACTCTTCTTTTCTGCCTCCCCAATAAACCCCATTCAACAGCTGGACAGAGAGTGACCTAAGATAAACCTTGCGGTCTTCAAGAGACTTGGCCAAACATGAATGCCTATGGCTACTCCTCATTTGAGGACCCCTTTTTACTGCATTGGATTTTCTGTCCAAGGAGATGTCAGCAGAGTCCTGGTGGAGCCCAGTCCTGCGGGAGGGAGTAGGTGAGAAAATAAGGATTTTATCGAGCTATTGGTGTGATATGCCTCCAGATCTTCCCAGTGACCAAGATGGAAGGTGCCAATAGGAAAGGTGTCAGTCTTCTGTCAGTTTCTATTGTCTATAGGGTTCATTTTCAGTTTCTTCAGATCTCCTCATATTTTGGCATTAGAGCACAAGTTGAAAGGTCATAAAACTTGATTGTCTAGATTCAGAGTCAAATGAAACCCCATCCTGATTTCCAGAATGTCCTGCTGTTCTCAGAGTGAGAAACTACACAGCGGAAATTGCTTTTCATTATCACTGCTGCATGGGAGAGTCTTAGGCATTCAGTACAACATAGTATAGTGTGTGCATGGTCAAAATGACAATTGCATTACAAAAAAAAGTAAAGGAGATTGAAATAGGAGATTCTGTTCTTGGCAAACAAAACAGACTTCAGAGGTGAGATTAAATGCTCTGGACAGGTTGGGGGAGGGAATAAGGGAGGATGAATAGGAAACACAGTTGCCTTGCAATAGAGGAAGCCCTGGGGTCTAGCAACTCTGAGCAGCATGGTCAAGGATGTGAGGCCTAGGTCTGGACATTGGAAGCCTCAGGTGGGAAAGGAAAGCTCTCTCCGCCAGGAATGAGGCCTGTTTGCTCCCCCTCTTACCTCATCCATGGGCTCACCCTAACGAGCTGCCCAAATGCTTCCAAATACTCAGAGCTATGCTGTTTCCTGCTTGTCTCTGGGATGTCTGAGCAGGGATAAATGACTCTCACCTGACCCTGGGGATCAATGCAGGGGAAAGTTCAGCTCCAGCTTCTCTCATCAGCAACAGTAGGAAAAACACCCTGGAGATATCATGTCACTCAGAGTTGGTCTACCTGGATCTCACTGACCCATCCGTAACTGCTAAGTGGAAAGTCTCAGATTCGTGTAGACATGACCAGCAAATGGTGCAGGTCAGCTGACTTAAAGCCCTCTCATAGTGCTAAAGATGATCCTGGTGTTGGGAGGGATGTCTGAGTAAAAACCAGGGCAGCAGGGGTCTTTCTGGAAGAGCTGCCCCTTGGCCTCCGTGGATACACTAATGTGTTTGGATCTCTAGTTTCCACTGGAACCTGGGGGGCAGGAAGGGTTCTTCTGTCCAGATTCATAGAAGGAGCAGAATGAACAAGCTCTCTTGCTATCTATCTATCTATCTATCATCTATCTATTATCTATCTATCATCTATCTATCATCTATCTATCTATCATCTCAGTGTAGTAAGGAGATCCATTGATCCATTACCCCTTGGAATTCCATATGGGAGAAACCAGGAAAAGTCAACTGCTGTTCTCCCTGCTTATGTACCATAAAGATTCTGGATCCATATGTATTTTCAGTGGCTGTGAATATGAGATTACAGACCTGAGTGGCATTCTTAGAGATTTTTAGAAAAAACAATCTACAGACACTTTCCCCCACCCCCTGCCCCACTCCTTCCTCAGCAATCTCCCTCAGTTGCCAGCTGCACCAGGAGTATGTAACAGGATGTTCCCAGGCTTTTATTTGACAAGAACCAGGGAGTGAGGTGCCATACTAAGACACCATCAAGGTGAATATGTGGTATGTTACAAGAATTTTTTAATTTTTGGATCTTGAAATCTAAGAGAGTTTAGCATAAGTGAAAACTCAGGGGCTAGGGATGACCTGTGCTGGGTACATCTTTAACCAAACCATGGTTCCCAGGCCATGCAGGTACCTTGTATTTGTCATCTCCATCTACCAATAGCTTTCAGTATGACAGTCTCCCTGGTCCAGAATATCTGGACTCTGACTTAGCCTGTCCTTTCTGAAACAAAACACCATCCAGAGATGCAGCTCCACAGGATCTATGAAAAATACATTTGCCATAATAGGTGACCAACAGTAAATCTCTAATGAGCATCTACTAATTACAATGACTTTGCAGTGACTTTGTAGGCACAGGTGATACAAAATGGGAGGAGTCCATGGCCTCCAACCTCCAGGCTCTCTCTCTAAAATGACACACTATTCAAGGAAAACATTTTGCAGGATTTACCTTTTCACAAGGTCATTCTTTTAGGGGTACTCAGAGCTGGGTCAGGGTTGCAACCTATACAGTTTTCAAGAGAACTGGATTCTCACTCCTTTACAGAATGGATGTGATAACCTGATCCCACAGAAGACCACAAATGACCAACTCTGTCTCTTCTCCACCCGCTTGGTTCCCCCGTCCTCATTCCTCTATCCCTGGCCCTCAGAGCTGCAGGGAAGGTGTGGGGCAGGTTTGCAGCTGCAGGCCCCTGGTGCTCAGCAGTCTCGCCAGTAGTTCACGCCCCTTGCTGCGGTTGCTGCTGCTGCGCGCATGCTCCAATTGCTGCCTTTTGCATGTGGCTGCAAAGTTCTCATCTACTGAGCTCACTGCTTTCCTTGTGCTACTGCAACCACAAAGCCTGGGTACACTTTTAAGATGGGACCTTAATGCTCTTTCCTTTTCTTTCTTCCCCTGTCTGGTACCCATTTGCAAACAGCGCTCCTGTTGTCTCCAGGTAAGGGGAGTCTTCCCCCCTTTTTCTGCTTCTTGCCAGTGCCATTATGTAGTTTAAGACCAATGTCCTTTGATTTATTTACTAGGAACTGTGGGCCCAACTTAACCTAACAAGTTCTCCTAAGGACTTGGAGATATTTCCCTACCTGAAGTAATTGTGAGGAGGTAGACAATTCCTTGAGCACCATTTTAGTGGTTGTGGGTAAAGGCATAGCTGGTCCTCTCTGAGACCAGGAAGAGAATTGAAACTTACCAAAGAAATGGTGGGTCATAGACTTCTCCTGAGTCTTAATTCCTCTGTCATCTCATGCTGTGGGGCAAGAGAGGACGAGAGTCAGAGCTGACTCTCCTAATAGGATCATGATGGGATGAGAAAGAAAATACTTTGATCTTAAGGGGTCCAGGGAGAAATAATCAGGATCTGCTGTGAGAACATGAAAAGCAATTTTTAAGGAATCTGGTATTTTATTGATCCTGAAGATCTTCCATTTCATCACAGCAGAGACCTAAATTTCTAGAACTTTGGTTCATTAGTCATTGATCCTTGAAGTCACGTGTGCCATGAACAACAAGAAGAATTAGAATATTATGGCGGGGTGGGGGTGGGCAATGATCTGATTGTATATAGAATTTCGGGGGAATTTATGTTGGAGATATTCTCACGCAGAGTCTAGAGCCTGTTGTAGGAAACACATCTACTTTGAGAGTATGCTTGCATCAGTGGAATCAAATCATAGACAATGTCCAACTTTGTGAGCAGTTAGGAATGCGCTTCCAGCATATCGGCAATACTGTAACTCTTGGTGCAGGCAGAGTGAGCTATACAAGATGTCTCAGCATATGTTAAAATAACATTTTATACTTCATTAGTTCTTTGAATGTATAAAAATTTTAAGGTCATTTGAGAGGCAAACCATTTTACAGAATTCATTGGTACTTAGTCACCATAGGCTGTACGCTGAGTTTGAGGAAGAGGCAGTGTACATAGTAAGGACATTTACCTCCTTGGAGTCTCAAACCAAAATAAAAGATATATGTAGGTAAACCCCTACATTTTCCCTTTATGGAAAAAAATTACTCCAGCTTCCCTGGCCTCTTGCTTCATCTTATATCAATAGGATAATGACTATCTCCGACCCCATATATTCCACTCTTCTCTCAGGGTTTCAATGTCAGAGCACTGGGTGTTCTCCACTTCACTCATCTTCTCGCCTGAGGAGGCAGTTGGGCTTTTTTGTTCCAATGCTTGCCTCTACCCCGCCCCCCACCAGCCACACACATATGCACATACCAAAGGTTGTGATTTAATTTAAGCTTCATTATACTTTTAACACATTGGCACAGATACCAGTAGAAGCTAAAACAGGAAAAGAAGGTGTCATTTCCTAGATCTTTCAATCTGTACACCTGCAATTTAGGAGCCCTTTGTTAGACTTTAAATTCACCGGAAATCTCAACTCCTTGTTTGGATTTTCCCAGGTGGCCAAGCAAACATGATTCACAATGCCTGGTGATGAAAGATGGAGAGAAAATATGTTCAATCTGAACCACATCACCAAGCTCAGGGACCTGGGAGTTAGAGCACTGGCTGCATCGCCCCATTTCCTTCTGAGGATGTCTGTAGAACATTCATGGCAATCTATTCCAGTCTTACCTGGCAAGCTCTTTCCTCTTCCAATATCTGTTTAGTCTTCCACCCTATTAATAGTCTCATTATCTCTTTTTCCCCTTCCTCCTCCTTCTCCTAGACCCAAGAGTTTGTTTAGTCAGTCTGAATATCAAGATATCACCTGTCACTTATTCTCTACACTTGAAATTCAGAGGAGTTACATAAACAAGTGATCAGAATAATTATGGTCTTTTAGGTTTGAGACTTATGACTCTCTCAAGAAATTAACTATTTGAATGTAAAGGAATGATAATTACAGAAGTAGGAAAAGGCAGGAATTGATACCAAATCCAGATACTAAATCAGAGTTGATTTAAAGGCATGTGAATCAATCAATTAACAGATATATATATATATATATAGACAGAGAGCGAGAGAGTACCTCTGTGGGGTACTGTGGGGCTGTGGGAGATCGAAAGATAGAGGATTGGTTATTTGTCAAAGAGATTTCTGCAGAGAGCTAGAAGGAAAAACTGACTGTCACCACAGGGGTAGACAGGTCAGTGGCTAGATCAATATCCTGCCAGATGGATATAGTGCTAGATTGATAGCTAGACAAGGGGTTAGACAGGTACATTTATAAGTCACTGGAGAGCTCATTACATTGGTATAAAGTTCTTGTGGCACATGTAAAATATGACAAGGGAGAGTCGGGGAGGGAGGAGTGGAATAATACTGTCACTACTAGGATAGGCATTGCGATATGGTGCCAAAAGCTACAAGTAGAGGAAAAGCGTACCCATGCTTTTAAAGAATCTACGTATACATCTTTTTCCAAAGACTTTTATTCAGAGTGGCTTGCAGTCTGGCTTCTAGGATCACTGACTTCATAGCCAGACTTATATTCAGAATTAACTAATAAGAGGCTCATATGGACTAAATGAAGTCAGGCTGCTAGGGGGTGTCTGCATAGAAATGTACAGAAGGATATTGATCGTTGAGAAATAATTGTTTCCTAAAGTGGTCACCAACACGAAAGGGAGGACAGCACCACGGACAGCTCCCCAGCGTTTTGGGATTGCCTTCTGTGTTTGGTGCCAGAAGCACTGAGTAGGACAGCCAGCTCAGGAATCCTCCGCATACTCTCTTACCAGTTTCATTCAAGACAACTCAGACATTCTTATAAAAAACAGACTCTCTGCTTGGCTTATCATCTTTCCAGTGAATTCTTTTCCTTGCAACCTCGAGAGCTCAAGTCTCACCCCTCCCCATGCTTCACAAATTCCCAAGATAAAAAGAAGAGAAGACCTTCTTGGCCTCTGACCCATTTTGTCCTTGAGATTCTTTAAGGACTAGAGAATTCCCCCCAGGAGATTCACTGTGTGGAATGAAAGCAATTAAAGAGCCAAATAAAAGAATTAATTGCATGTAAGAATGTGGACTCGGCTGGAAAGATGTTTAAACGAGCTCTGAAAGAAACAGGACGCCAAGAGCAATTTTCTAACAAAGGGGAATAAAAAGACAATCTCTATTCCACTTTAATCTAGAAAATGCATCTTCATGGTGAAGTGGTCTTAAAATGGACTCACCAGCTGAAGTGCAAAAAATGTCTAACTGTTCAGCATGAGAAGGGACCACCGGTGATTGAGTTAAGATGCTGAGGGGTGACAGGGGATGCCTCAAAAGGAAATAGAGGAAGAGCTTCCTTTTGTTTTGTTTTTGAACAAGTATTTGTGTTTCAGAAGAAATGTGCCTGGTTCCTTAGAAACCCTGGGGATCTTTCATTTGGAAATCATGAAGTTTGGGGGGAAATCTTCCAAGTTTCTCATGGTGAGGATAATAGTCACTAGTATGAAATGTAGCTATTCCTGGAAATATCCCTTCTTCCTCCTTTATAGAGGAGAACACTCCCAAGAGTGTTGGAGAGAGATGTTAATGGGAACCAGTGGACATTCCCTTTGGGTGAAAATGTGCTTCTGACCCCCAAGAACTCTTATATGAAGTAGTTGACCAGTCATGCCCAACAGTTCAAAATTGTTAAAAGTCAGGAGATTTGGCTTTGGTTCCCAGCTCTTCGATATCTCACCAAATGTCTTGGGACTTCACTTGGTGCTATTTCTCAGAAGATCCTTGGGTCATATTGCCCACCCGGGTATCAAATCAAAAGAGGAATGTTTAGCCCAGGCCTGCAAGGAACACTCTCATGGTCTGATGATCATAAAGTGTTTAGCACCTTATAGAAAAAGGCACTAAAAATTACACAGAGTCCTCATCCTCAAGGGCTATTTGCTGTATGCCCACTGCCCATGCCTAATACCCTGAGCTTTAGACTTCCAGGGAATGGCAAATGAGCTAAAGCTAGTCTGATTTTGCTTTGTTGCAGAGGTGACAGACAGGAAGCTGACTGTGGAGGAAGAGGAAGCCAAGAGGATAGCAGAAATGGGAAAGCCAATATTGGGTGAACACCCCAAACTAGAGGTCATCATTGAAGAGTCCTATGAGTTCAAGGTCAGGCCATAAGTGAGATGTAATTGAATAATAAAGTAATGAGGTGGGAGGTAGAAGACCTGGAGTCTTGTTCCAATGTCACCACTGAATACGTGAAGTTGAAACTGAACAACTCACTTACCCCAGGCTCAGTTTTCCCATTTGTAAAGCGGAGCAAACAGTGCTGGCCATGTGTATCTTAGGAATATTGTGAGGAAACATAACACAGCCTGTGGAATAAATGAGCTATAAATCTCCTAAATGTATCATCACTATTTAATTGTATTTTTAAAACAAATATACTAAAATTCACTACTCCAGGCTAGGTTTACTGACATCATTAGTGTTATTCTCTGTTGTGTTGCTCTAAATATCCAATGTCAGCAGTCACAACTGAAGAAAAGGACATTAGAACGACTATGCCAGAAGATACCCCCTGGAGTACAGGGTATCTTTCATTCCCATGAAGTACCAGACTCTACAATGGTTCTGAGCATTCTAACCTCATGGTTCCAAGTTTTAATCTTCCTGACAGACTACCGTGGACAAGCTGATCAGGAAGACAAACCTGGCCTTGGTTGTGGGGACCCATTCCTGGAGGGACCAGTTCATGGAGGCCATCACTGTCAGTGCAGGTAAGAGGGTCACAAGATGGGCACAGGCAGCTCCAGGGAAGCAAGAACACAGCCATGTCAACAACTCACCAGTCTCTGGGAGGGCCCTGTGGCCAGTCTTCCCAGCTCTAACCCTAGATGTTTGCCTTTTCACTGAGTCACTTTGGAAGAGAACTATGGGGTAACTAGAAGAGCATGGCTATCTCTGGTTTCAAACCCTGGTTCTACTGTGTGAACTGGGACAGGCTATCCTCTCTGTACTTCGACTTCCTCATCCAAAAAGGGAACTATTGCTACCTTTCTCAGCAAAGAGAGTAGAAAGTGGCACAGTCTGGTACTGAACAGGAACTTAAGAAATTCTCTTTTTCATCATTCCGTCCTCTTATTAATTTGGTCTTCCTTTTCTGTAAAATGCGGGACTATTCTGATTTAGAGATGTGGGGGTCTGGGGTTTGTAAAAACCTTGCATTGACTGACAAACCCCTGCCCTGGATGATTTCAGACCTCTCCTCGGCAGTGAGTGACAGGTTTCCTCAGTGGGGACCCACAGCACAGCTAGCATCCCAGAGGCCTGCATGCGGGTTGGCATGGGGATGGGAGGGGTCTTGCCACCACTCACAGCGTTGCCTCTTAGCACCACGGAGGCCTCCTGTACTGCCCCGCACTCCTGGCCTTGTCTCTTTTCATGAAGCTTTGTTGTCATAGCAACCCACGGGGTCACATCCCTGAGGTCCCAGCACCAGAGCCAAAGTACAGCCAGGAAGAGAGGGCCACTGCTGCTGCGTTTGCTGCCCCTCTTTTCCTATCACCTGCTTCATATACTCCCAGTCCCACCTCTGAGGACCTTTCTTTGCCCCTATAGAGACAATAAGCGGAATATCAGCCACGTAATCTAACTCCCTCCTTTTTCAAATGAGGGAGCCGAGATTCAGAAACCAAAGATGGTTGACCCCAGGTTCCAGATTCTCTTCATAGCGCAGCTGCAGTTGGAACCCAAGTGTCCTGACTCCTGCTTCCACCGGTTATGTCAAAACATGACAGAGGTTGCCTTTGATGGGGCGCCAGCATGTCCTCTCCTCCTGGACTGCTGAATGGGCAACTCTGCCCACATTTCCTGGCAAGGACAAACCAGGCCCATCCCTGCTCCATCCCACGGGATATTTGGAGGATGGCACTGTCTCCCCGGGATGCCCACATGATCTGGAATGAAAGCTGTCCTGCTGGGGATGGAAGATGACCAGAACCACGAGGTTATTGCAGCAGTCACGTCAGGAAGATTAGAGGAGCCCCACGGGTGTCCAGTGAAGAGTGGAAACCCAGCTGATTTCACTCTCCTTCACCTAGGCAGCCCCGTGCCTGCTCCATCCTCCTCCCTCTCTCCCCCACTGCCCTGTCCCTCTCAGGTTCTCTCATCCTTTCTCTTCATCTCTTTCTCTTCCCTTTCCTACTCCCCTGTCCTCTCTCACCCACTCTCCCTGGGTGCCCTGCATTCAAATTGACCACGGGGGCACCCCAACACGTTTTCAATTTCCCGCACCCCGCACCAGCTGCCCAGGAGAGAGCTGGAGTCTCCGTGCAGCCAGTGATGCTTACGATGTGGGTTGGACTGGACTTTCTCATGAATGGGGATCTGACCCCGCTGTCCTTTCCCGGGCCTGTTTGTCTTGCCTGCAACAGGGGACGAAGATGAGGATGAGTCAGGTGAGGAGAGGCTGCCCTCCTGCTTTGACTACGTCATGCACTTCCTAACGGTCTTCTGGAAGGTGCTTTTTGCCTGCGTGCCCCCCACAGAGTACTGCCACGGCTGGGCCTGCTTTGTCGTCTCCATTCTCGTCATCGGCATGCTCACAGCCATCATCGGGGACCTGGCCTCCCACTTCGGCTGCACCATTGGCCTCAAGGACTCGGTCACGGCTGTTGTCTTTGTGGCGTTTGGCACCTCTGTGCCAGGTGAGAGTGAGGGGTGCTTGCATTTGCGAAGAGGATATTACCTGGTTCAAGTGACCCCTACACACTTTGCCTCATTATCTTCCTTACCATCTCAGATCTGAGCTTAACAGAGCCTCTGCCCCTTAGGTGCACAGAAGTCGGTCAAAGGGGTCACTGCCACTATTAAGAATGATAGCTAACATTTCTTGAGCACTTTTGATGTGCCAGGAAGTGTGTATGCTGAACAGCTCACCTGTTTTAGCCCTGTAACGCTCACCCAAACCTTATTCAATAAGGCGTGTTATTATCCTCATCTGTCAGGTGGGGCCCAGAGGTTAAGTTACCTGCTTAAGTGGCCAATTTCTTAACCTCCACGTCAGAGGAATGGGCCACTTCCCTCTGGCTACAGGTTAGCCTGCTTGGAGATGTGCTGGAGAAATGCCCACCAGCCTCCTCTGCTTAGGGCACCTGTGAGTACAAAGTGTCTCCCAGCAGGATAGGTGAAGGAAGCTTCACAAGCTCTTGTCCTTTCATATGATGAATTACATATTCTTTTCTTTTTTCTTATAAACACCTAAAGTGAAGATGAACAAGCATGCCTCTATTTATTCATTAGACAAATGTTTACTGAGCCTGATACAGTCTTGTGCTGGTTGCTGGGACAATAATGGGAAACAAGACAGACATGCTTCCCTTTCCCTGTGGAGTTTATAAATCTCCATGTGCGATTTATTTCTGTGCTCCGGGGCCTCGAGGGATTGGAGCTATCAGAGGGGACGGAGCAGATGTGGGTAAAAGGAACAGATGTGGGAAGAAATTGCAGAGAATCAGACGTTAAAAAAAATTTTTAAAGCAAGGTCACAGGCGAGAAAAGGCAAGAGGTTTTCTCTGGGAGAAAATTGGCAACAAGGAGGCAAGCCAGGATAAGCCGGGCAAGGGAGCGTTTGGGGCACATCCAAGTCCTTGCGATGCGTCCAGGGAACAGCTGGCAGCATTAGGGGCTTGAAGGTTATCCTGTGGTCCACTCAGCTGGTGTGTGGCTTTGGCTGAAGCTCCTTGGATGTAGGGTGACGCTATGGAAAGGGCTCTTAACATGAGGGTTTTCAGGTCAAATCTCCCGATAACTTACCTTGAGTAGATTCCTTGAACCTTATTTTTCCTAACTTGTCAAATAAAAGGGTGGCTGGCAGTCCTTCCAGTGCTTACAATTCATGCTGACATCTAAAGAGATGTCAAGCAGCCTGCAAGGCCCTGTGCTCTGTATATTAACTGCAAAGGCAGAGCCCCGTCTTCCTTGAGTCCACAGCTCCCCTTGTATCTCCCCATCATGGTTCCCCAGCATGTCCTCTGTCCCCATAAATCCAGCACCTAGCGCAATGCTAAGCCCATGGGCTCAATCACAGTCTGTTATGTAAGTAAATGCCCCGTGTGACAGGTGCAATCAGGCACTTAATTGTAAGAAGCGTCCCTGGGTGTCAAGGTTCCCTGGGGAGATATTATGGGAAAGCAAACTCCCCTTACTGAAAAAGTAGTCAAAGGAGAACAATAAACCCATTCAGTAAATACCAGGACCAGAAAAAAAAAAACCTTGGGAATCTTTCAGACGCAGGCAGATGAGGAACGGGTAGCCCAGAGAAGTAAGGTGACCCATCCAAGCCCACACAGCTTATTAATGGCAGAGCTGGGGGTAGCCCCCAACCCCCCACCTGTCATTCCCAGGCTCGGCCTGATGGCCCCAGCTGCCTTACTGGACACCCTCAAAGGTAGGCCCTCCGCGCCCCAGCCTCCCACCAGCTCTTGTCTGTCTGCCTCTTTTCAGATACGTTTGCCAGCAAAGCAGCCGCCATCCAGGACGTGTACGCAGATGCCTCCATTGGCAACGTCACGGGCAGCAACGCCGTCAACGTCTTCCTGGGCATCGGCCTGGCCTGGTCCGTGGCCGCCATCTACTGGGCCCTGCAGGGACAGGAGTTCCACGTGTCAGCGGGCACGCTGGCCTTCTCTGTCACCCTCTTCACCATCTTCGCGTTTGTGTGCGTCAGCGTGCTCTTGTACCGCCGGCGGCCCCACCTGGGCGGGGAGCTGGGCGGCCCTCGTGGCTGCAAGCTGGCCACGACTTGGCTGTTTGTGAGCCTGTGGCTTCTCTACATACTCTTTGCCACGCTGGAAGCCTACTGCTACATCAAGGGGTTCTGAGCCGCAGCAGCCCTGGAGAGGCAGCATCAGGACCCGAGCCCCAGGAACTTCCCCCCGACTAGGCCCTGGCAGTGAACTGAAAGGGCGGAGTCTTAGTCAATCCAACAGAATGGAGGAGATACCCATTTTACAAAGTATTTAATTCAATACAAACCAACAACGGCGACAAATCCAACTCCAGCCCATCTTCCCGAGATGTCCCTGACCCATCACATAGACCCTTTCACCACCTTCGATACCACCTTCTTCTGATTATTCCTTTGCTTCTACTTTCCTCGGGGGCAGGGTTTCTCCTGTCTGTCCAATTTGATATATCACCGTTCTCTCACTCCACTGGCGAGGCTTGAAAATGAGTCCTATCCACGTGGCTGGCTTGGGGTTCTCTTTTCATTGCCATCATTATCGTGGTGGCTTTCATTTTCCCATCAGGTTTTGCTCATCATTTGTTTGTTCATCTTGTCTTTTCTCTCTGAGGTTAGTGACAACGGTGCTGTGAAGGAACTCAAGGTCTGAGCCGATGGGTAGAAGCATGAACTTTCAGACACACCCTCTCCCACTTGCACTGGGTAACAGCTGTCTCTTGCTCCATCGAGGTCCTTTTCCCCCTTTCCTTTTATTCTCTTCATTCTTGAATGGGCTGGTGGCATTTGGGTGGCAGTAAGTTTGCACACCCAGGCAGCGTGCTAAAGAACTGGGGCTGTGGCTGGAGCACAGCTTTCTATCAAGCTTCTGTCGAAATCCAGTTTAAAAAAAGAAGTCATTTTTCTCTTCCCTGCCCGAGCCTTTCAAATTCTGTCTCATTGTGTCAATGTCTATATGTTTACCCTTCTGCAGGAAGACCCACCAAACAGGAGATAGGGGACAAAAATAGGAATGGAATATGATGACATAGGGCAGCTAGGGGAACAGAAGGGCTATATGCCTTCTAGAACATCTTTGGCTTCATATCTGAGGCAGGAGAGATGCGATGTCCACCTAGTGAGATCTTTAAGGGAAAAGATTATATGTAAAATGTCAGTGCTTCTGAGAAATGTCAGCTTTACCACACCCTCACTTCCTAATGCACCAGACTAAGAGCTCTGACTGTGTCTCTTGATTTAATGCAAAAAAAGTTTTATAAGAAAATGAGGGCCTCCTTCCACCTCTCCTGGACTCTCCGGTCACATTTGAAAGTATTTTCACAAGACAGGAACTGGAATTCCTCATCTCTCCCACATTCCTGCTTGTTTTTAAACCTCTTGAAGCTCTTTTTCCAGCCTGTGGGCTATTTCTTGCCCCAGTAGGAGGAATCTAAGCTGCCATAATCCCATGGAGCCTGGGTTTATAGAGAGATTGGCGTGCCCTACAGACCTTTTCCCAACAAATTTTGAAAGGACCTGGCTTTAAAACACACACACACACGCACACACGTACACGCGTGCGCGCACACATACACACACACAAATAACCACACATATGAAATCACCAAAAGACTGCCCACAGACCTTTAGGCTTTCTGCATTGACATAAATACATTTTTTAAGGGAAAAGAAGAAATTAAAAAACACCTGTTTAATTTTAAACACATTTTTTAAGAAAAAATAGCTGAAAAAGAAACAGCGTTCATGTCATAAGCTATGTTGACAGTTGCCAGTGGAAATGTTGGGTTGGTTTAAAAAAAAAAAATAAAAGCTATACTTATATCTCTCTAAAGACAGCTTGCTTCTCCCCATGTTGCCTCAGGAAAAGGTCTAGGGGGTCACCTTGGGTTCCTTCTGGAGCTGAAGTGGTTGAGGTGAAAGTGTCATCTCCTATTTGTGTCTCCTATTTGTATCCGTCATGTCCTCAGATGCCAATGTGCCAGACCCAGGATATTTAAAGCAAAAAATGCTTGAGGACAATGCTACCTGTCAAAGTCTGGACTTTAAGATGCTGGAGGACGTAAGAGGTGGAGCTGTGATGACTAAAGGGGAAAGAGCGTTTTGTATTAGAAAGGCCTGGTAGGGCAGGATTCCAGCTGGACAAACAGCGTCCTGTATTAATTACCAATAGGCACATTCATTCATTCATTTATTCATGACTCTTTCAACAAATGTATTTTGAGCACCCTGTGTGCCTTGAGCTACATTTTGGTGCTACCATGAAGCGTAAGATAGAGTTCCTGACCTCAAGAAACTCACAGTCCAGAGAGGCCGGTAGAGCTTCTTTTAACCAAGGCTCTTTTGGTTACAAGAAGCAGAAACCCATTAAGCTAGTTCAAGAAATGAAGGGGGCTGGGGCGATACTGCGAAGGCCTGGTGGGGGGCTCTTGCGGAACCCAAGGCAGGAGCACGGCAGGCCGCGGGGTCCTGAAAGCCCTCAGGAAGCAAGGCCACGTTCCACCTCCCCGAAACCGCAAGGTGTCCCCTGTCTTTCCTCCTTCTGCCTGTCAGGCCTGTCCACTTCCTCCCCCTCCCAACGTGCTCTTGCTTTGTTTGTCTTGCACGTGACCAGCACTGCCACCAGCCCTGACACTCTGCCATGACCTCACAGCTCTGTTCCCCACAACGAACTAGAGAGTCCCTTTTTAAATCTGAGTGCGGGTTCAATGGAGAAAATGTGGCCAATTTTCCATCCCCAAAGGGCCAGTCCCCAAAGGCAGAACCCTTGTAGAAGGCTGTGTCAAAGGGGTTGGGGTGCCGCGGCCTGATTACTTTGTGTCATGTGTTCACTCCTGGTCCGAACAACTCAGGTAAGGAGAGGAGGGTGGCGACCACGTTGTATGTACTGTCACCCTTTCCGAAAGCTAAGTGACGGGAAGAAGGCTATGAAGCGCATGAGCCATCAAGGTGTGAAGAAAAATTACAGTTCTGTGCCATGAGTGGTCAAAAAATGGCATAGACAGGGCATCACAGGGACATGACAGAAAGAAACACTGACTCAGCCTGCAAGAATTGAAGAGGGCTTCACAGAGAATGGAACAGTTAGGTAGGATCTTGAAGGAAGAATAAGTAGTGATTTAACTTGGGGAGGGGGCTTGGTGGTGAAGAACATTTGAGAAGAAACAGCATGCTCGAAGGCACAGGGGTGAATCAGGGGCTGGTGGGGTCATGGGTTAACAAGAGTTGTCACGGCTAGAAGATAGCGTTCAAAAGGACACAAAACAACACCAAAAAAGCAGTCCGGGAGAAGGACTTGGCTGGAAGACTCAATTTTTTGCCAGCCACAAAGTTGATAATGAAAAATTCCCTTCAGCTGATGAAATAGTAGATGCAGAATCAAGAAATCAATTCCTCCCCATCTTTCCCCTTTTGTGAGTCATTTCTGGGTTATCCAGATGTTAGGCTTTGTCAAGAGAGAAGCTGGGATGAACCACAGAGAATGAGGAAGAGGAATCTGAGGACCTGGTACTAGTCGAGATGCCACCACTGACTAGTTCTGTGGACTTGAGCCAGGCCACCTTCTCTCAGCTTCCTGAACTACAAATAAGGTTTTAATAGATGGCCTCTGAAGCCCATTACTTCTACCTTTAACACTGAGATTCTAGAATATATATACAAGAGCAGTGTGTGTGTGTGTGTGTGTGTGTGTGTGTGTGTGTAATCAAATTGCCCGTCGACCTCATCAGACGGAGCACAGCAGGTGTCCATTTGCAATCCATTGGCTCCACGGCCTGTCTATTAGTGTGAAAAAGACACGGCCAGCGTGGTGCACATGTCATTTTCAGCATTTTTTCCTGGCAGAGCCGCAGCATTCCCATCCCCTTGACTCATTTATTACTTAGAGCAATGTTAGCTGCTATAATAAAGAAACCCCAGTATGTCAGGGCTGAGCAAAATGAAAAGTGCATTTCTCACTCACGTAATAATCCAGTGAGAATGGTCCCGGTCAGCAGGTGGCTTTCTTCTACACGAGGCAGCGGGCTTGTCAGTGTTTTAAAACAAACATTTTGTGTAAAATTCTGGATTTGGGCTTCTCTGGCCACACTGCGTGGCAGTGGAGCTGATCAGTGGTCACCCCACGTAGACAGGCTTTATGTTCTCGATTCACCAGAGTCCCTACCCAGACTGCCACTTTCATTCACAGGACCTCCTGGTCCCTGGAGCCATTTATGCATGTGACACCTGCTATGGGGTCAAGGTCTGGGTTTTGCATGTTGGCCTTCCACGTGTTGGTGCTAACCTCCAGTATCCTGTGAGGTTTGAATCCCAGTTATACCACTTTTACCTTTCGCGGGATTTTTAAACAAGTGACTTTAACCTCCCTTAGCCTCAGTTTCTCCAATCCAGACATACAGTTGTTGCAAAGGTTAAATGAACGATTTTTCAAGGCAGCTACCATAGTGCCCTATACCTAGCATGTACCCTGGAAATATTCCTTTCATCTCACATTAATGGTTTGTGGTAAAATCCCTTACAGCTGGTGCCATCAGGGTCTGACATGTTCCAGGGGACTGTCAGTGTTTGGGGTGGGGTGGTGGTGATGGATGGCCTCAGGCCACTGCATCCAACATACCGTCCCTCTATATGTTGGTCCAGGCAGGCTCCACGGAAGTGGAGAAAAGCTCTCCATGGTCTTGCTTCTGTAGCAGGAGCAGGTCTCTAGCTCCTCAGACTGCATGGGGCACAGAGGTTAAGATTTAGAGGGATAGCCAAGGGGCACCAAGACCCCCAGGTCAAGCAAGCCCCTTGGAACATTGGAGAAGTGGGGCAGATACGTTTGGCATCAAAGAAAGAGTGACAAAGAAAGGGACAACAGCCCATATAGAGTCTTTCATGCTAATAGTAAAGTGGGTCATGGTGGACAGAAATACCTGAGGGCTTGCAGAAGGAGGTGAAGCCTTGGGAGAAGCCACGTAGTCTGGCCAAGGTCGTCCTGCAAGTGAGTGGCAGAGCAGGACTTAACTACATAGGTCCACCAGATTTCAAAGTCACTGCTTATTAACTGAATATGCACCTGTTGGGTGTGTAAGACAAGCATTGTTTACTTTCATAGTGTTGAAGAAGAAAGTTAGGAGCATAAATAGGATGACTTGTCTTGGTTTCTCCAGGACTTTCCTGGGTTTAGCGCTGAAATCACATATTTTAGGAAACCCCTCAGTCCTGGGAAATAGGGATGGTTGGTCACCAAAAAATATTACAACTGTCTTACAGAGTAAGACTTAGTACAGAATTGCTACTACTAGTAAATGGTAGTCACTGCACACACACCTTCTACTATGTCATGCTGTCATGACTGGGTGGCTTAAACAACAGAAATTTATTTTCTCACAGTTCTGGAAGTTAGAAGTCCATGATCAAGGTGATGACAGGGTTGGTTTCTGGGGAGGTGTCTCTTCCTGACTTGCAGATGGTCACCTTCTCACTGTGTCTTCAAATGACCTTTTCTCTGGGCACAGAGAGAGATCTCTGGTATCTCTTCCTCTTCTTATGAGGACACCAGTCCTATTGGATCAGGGCCTCACCCTTATGACCTCATCTAACCTTGATTACCTCCTTAAAGGGCCCATCTCCAAATATAGTCACATTGGAAGTTAGGGCTTCAACGTATGAATTTGTGGACGAGACACAATTCAGTATCCCCCCACTGAGGGACTTTGAGCAGGAGGGTAACATGATCTGATTTGCCTTTTCATTAGCTCAGTCTGAGCTGTCTGTGTCGTGGAGGATGGTTGAGGTGGGGAGTGGATGAAGGGAAGACCAGAGACCATTTACAACTATCGACCACTGAAGGAAGCAGATGGAATGGTGGCAGTGGGGGGTTTGGAGAGGAGGTCCCAGGGGAGAGAGAATTAAGAGGGGGAGCTCACGGGACATGGCAACAGACTGGATGGACAAGGAAGGGAGGACATTGTAGGGAGGAAGCAAGCAGGGCTCTGGGGTCCCAGGCTTGGGGGAGTGGCTGGCTGGTGTGCCCGGCACTGAGGAGAGGTGGGTGGAGGTGGCGTGTCCAGTTTTAGTTATATTGAGTTTTTGGGGCTTGTGGGACACCCAAGTGGAAGTGTCCAGGAGCCTGGATTCAGCAGAGACCTGAGCTGAGTCTGGAACAATCTCCCTAGCAGATTTCCAGAGCAGTTGCCATTCTCCTGAGAGTCTATTCTGAAATTACTTAAAATAGCCACACGCTGCCCTGCAGCCCTCCTTAGTCACCAGTGTGAAAACCTCAAACACCAGCAACCCAGCAGAGACACCTCAGCCAATTTCTAGTTTGTTTTTCCGGTTTGAGGTGTCTCATTCTTCCCAACCCGTCTTCCTCCACCCCTCCCCCAGGCCTTTCATTCCCCTCACACGTCCCCTCCCAGACCATAGTTTTTTCCCCTGAACTCAGCCTATCTTGGCTCTTTTTTTTTTTTCATCTTTATTGGAGTACAATTGCTTTACAATGGTGTGTTAGTTTCTGCTTTATAACAAAGTGAATCAGTTATACATATACATATGTTCCCATCTCTCTTCCTCTTGCGTCTCCCTCCCTCCCATCCTCCCTATCCCACCCCTCCAGGAGGTCACAAAGCACTGAGGTGATCTCCCTGTGCTATGCGGCTGCTTCCCACTAGCTATCTATTTTACATTTGGTAGTGTATATATGTCCATGCCATTCTCTCACTTCGTCCCAGCTTACCCTCCCCCCTCCCCATCTCCTCAAGTCCATTCTCTAGGAGGTCTGTGTCTTTATTCCTGTCTTACCCATAGGTTCTTCATGACATTTTTTTTCTTAAATTCCATATATATGTGTTAGCATACGGCATTTGTCTTTCTCTTTCTGACTTACTTCACTCTGTATGACAGACTCTAGGTCCATCCACCTCATTACAAATAGCTCAATTTCGTTTCTTTTTATGGCTGAGTAATATTCCATTGTATATATGTGCCACATCTTCTTTATCCATTCATCCAATGATGGACACTTAGGTTGTTTCCATCTCCGGGCTATTGTAAATAGAGCTGCAATGAACATTTTGGTACATGACTCTTTTTGAATTATGGTTTTCTCAGGGTATATGCCCAGTAGTGGGATTGCTGGGTCATATGGTAGTCCTATTTGTAGTTTTTTAAGGAACCTCCATACTGTTCTCCATAGTAGCTGTACCAGTTCACATTCCCACCAGCAGTGCAAGAGGGTTCCCTTTTCTCCACACCCTCTCCAGCATTTATTGTTTCTAGATTTTTTGATGATGGCCATTCTGAGTGTGAGATGATATCTCATTGTAGTTTTGATTTGCATTTCTCTAATGATTAATGATGTTGAGCATTCTTTCATGTGTTTGTTGGCCATCTGTATATCTTCTTTGGAGAAATGTCTATTCAGGTCTTCTGCCCAATTTTGGATTGGGTTGTTTGTTTTTTTGTTATTGAGCTGCATGAGCTGCTTATAAATTTTGGAGATTAATCCTTTGTCAGTTGCTTCATTTGCAAATATTTTCTCCCATTCTGAGGGTTGTCTTTTGGTCTTGTTTATGGTTTCCTTTGCTGTGCAAAAGCTTTGAAGTTTCATTAGGTCCCATTTGTTTATTTTTGCTTTTATTTCCATTTCTCTAGGAGGTGGTTCAAAAAGGATCTTGCTGTGATTTATGTCATAGAGTGTTCTGCCTATGTTTTCCTCTAAGAGTTTGATAGTTTCTGGCCTCACATTTAGGTCTTTAATCCATTTTGAGCTTATTTTTGTGTGTGGTGTTAGGGAGTGATCTAATCTCATACTCTTACATGTAGCTGCCGTGTCCCCAGCACCACTTATTGAAGAGGCTGTCCTTTCTCCGCATCTTGGCTGTTTATCAGCCTTGACCCTTCCCCACGGCTCTCTCAGCCACTCCTGATTTCCCTCTTGCCTCTCTTCCCCCTCCCCCTGCACATCGCTTTACCTCTTGGTCTGTCTGCATTTTCTTTCCTCTCTAAAGCATACACATCTTCTCATTTTTTTTCTTCCTTTGCTGCCAATCACAGCCCCATAATGTGGATCCCCTCCAAGGAGGCTTTCTAACTCCTGTCCCACTCCCTAAAGGTGCATTTGTTTCATCTCCCCATTCTGCACCGGCCCCGCTTCACGCTGTGGACCCTCAGCGTGTCTTCCCATTTGGTGTGCTTCCTCATCCCCTGAAACGCACAAACCTCGTGCAGTGCAGGACCTGTTTAGCTGTGCACAGAAGAGCAAAGAGCCCAGACAGAAAGGATCTGTCTGTGAAAAGTGAAGGGAGTTACCTGAAGCCAAAGGTAGCCCAGGGGCTGAACCAGGATGAAAAGCTGACCTTCTGACTCTAAGTCCAGGACCCTGGGAAATTTACAACACCAGGTGCACTAGGGTCTACACAAACCCTGACGTCTCACCTCAGCTGGGCTCCTGCTGCTTCCCAGGGGTCCTCCCCACCATCTCCCGCTGACTCCCCGCTACCCTCCCCAAGGAGAATGCTGCAAAGCTTTCCCAAACCTCCTGCCTCAAGTCAGTAGACCTCCTCTGGTCACTGAGCTCTGCTGGGTCCTGGTCTCCACCAGGCCATTCCACACCCAGTCAAGGATTTTAAAGGGACCTAGGTTCAATGGGGTCAAATTAAATACTCTGGAGTCAGCTCTGCCCCACATGGCTCGACCTGGGTCTCAAGGGAGACCCCTCAGAAAGCAGAGTTCGCGTCTTTAACGGGGAGGAGGGATGCCTAGAGAAGAGAGTTGCTAAACACTGGGCGGTGGAAAGGGTGGGGGACTGAAAAACCTGGGGTTTCTGTTTGCAGCTACATAGCACATGTCTAAAAGTACTCCCCTTAAAAAGCTCCAACTCCTTCCTCTGGGCATCACAGGGGGTTAAAGAATAACAGAAACGGGCCACTCATGGGAATTTAGGAGATGTATTTATACAGCACAGAGGTCTGTGGGAGGAGTGGAGGTGAGTGGGTCACCTGGAGTCTTACCTGGTCCTGGGGTCGACGTCCCAAGGGCAAAGTTGTCTAGGACAGCAGGCCCATTAGGGCTGTGAGATGGTGAGAGCCAGAAGGTCCCTGGGCCTGGAGTTGGAGCTACTGGGAGATTCTCTCTGGGATCATCTTCCCTTGAATCTGTCACTAAACCCACCATAATAGGACTTTGAGGGGGGAACATTTTCTACTTTCCCGGAATTGGTGATAAGGACCCAAAATGAAGAAAAAAGAGATGCAAAGTACCCCATATCGTAAAGATCAACAGCTAGGGCCTGATACCCTCCCCAAAGAGGGCATGATACTTGAAATAGCTTTGTAACTAACCACCCTTCCCCATCCCATTCTATAAAAGAAGGTTGGGGGAGAGAGCGGAAGGAGATAGACAAGAACCTCTGGGTGGCTTCCTCCCCTCCTTGAAGCTGAAAAAGCAGGGAGGCTCTGAGAGAACTGTCCGTGGGGATTTAAGCTGGCTGCTGGCCTGACACCTCCTGTCCCAACTGGGCATCTGTGACGCAGCCTATTTGCTGATCAGTCCCCTCTACCTAGTGAAGCAGGGAGGGGAGAAGAGGGAGAGATGCAGAGCCGAGAGAGGTGCCATTGAGGATCGACCTGCACCCCATCAACTGGTACAGGAAGGATGTGTAAGTCTCCCACGGGTGAATGGACACCCCAGCAGGGAGCCTGGTGAGAGCCATAATTCAGGTACAAAACCCAAGGCAGGGTCCTCGGAGCAAAGTGGACACGGGGTATATTGCTGTAGGGAAGTGTGGAAAAGGTCAAGCCAGAGCTGGACTTCCCACATAAAGGCCCTGTGCAGTGGGGGGGCCCTACTCAGACCCGGCGTGGGCTCCATACGAGGACCAGTATTTGAACATCTGCTACAGAGAGGGCGAGCAGCGCTAACCTGAGAAGCTGCTACAATGAATGGGGAGGACTACAACTGTTGTCTGTTAGGAGGCCTCCACGGTGTTCCTTTCCCTCTTCCCTACCCCATCATCTCAGGAGAGCTGCATCAGGATAAAGTGGAGGACGAATTGTCTCAGAGCCTGACCGAAGCCCCACTGCCCTCTCCTCCAAGCCAGTTAACGGCTGTGCCAGGGCAAGGAGGGGAGGAGTATCTAAATCAAGCTGGAGATTGAAGCTTTGTCATTGGCTGGAACTGAGCATGTAAAATACCTGAAGTAACCAGGAAGTTATGGGAACTGCCCAAGTTGTCCTAAGGGATCCACTCCACGGAGGAAGGAGGATATGCCGAGAAGCACAGTGAAAGCGATGACTGCAGAGGGAAAGTTTCACATCTGTACCCCAGGGTACTGCTATTCCCCAGCTGCTTTCACCCAGCGTTACTTGATGCCCCACCAAGTTCTCAAGCGCTGGGGGCATGGCTAGTTACTCCAGGGCCTCAGTTACCTGAGAATTAGCTCCCAGGTGGGGTGGGGGGAGCTCACAGGAGGGAAGGTGCATTCACCCTCTGCTTTACCAACGACAGGGAGAACGGTAATTACCGTAAATGTGATAGATCTGTCAGAAATAATAGACGTAAAATGCACCATGTAAACTGTGAAAAGCAAGTCTTTTTATTCTTGGACAACGTAAAAATTGCAGCTTTTTTCATCAATATGGAAAACACAAAGATAATCTACATTGTGATAGTCACCAGAGCTGTTCACCAAATATTTCTAATTCTCCTTCTGGGCACTCACCAACTGCCTTTGAGCTAGATGGGACCATGTGATTTGCTGTAGTCATTGAGATGTGAACAAAGTGACGTCACTTCCAGATGGAAGCTTTAAGAACAAGGGTACAATTTAGCATGTTCCCCCTGCACCCTCCCCGCCTTTTTTTTTTTGAGCCTCCCTCAACCTGGGTCCCTGATGAAGAGCAGCGCCCCCTGCTGACGTATGATGGATATGTTCCAGGAGGGAGAAGAATAGCTTTGTGATTTAAGGGTGCGGGGGAAGTATGTTACTGCATCTCATCCTGGTCTCTCCTGATTCTTATGGGTAATTCACCAACGTGCCCATCATCCAGTGAAGACATCACATCCAAGTATTCAATGCCCCTGCACCACCAAGCGTGTGGATGATCAAGGTTGCCCTGGTTGGGTGTGTCACATACAGGATGGTGCACCATTAGCTGTAGTACAAAGCTTTGCTACGAAGACCCCAGGCAAAAGGACCTTCACAGAGCAGCTGAGGGAAGAAGGGAAGCAATGCAGACAGTGGGAGGGATGAGGCTACACAGATGAGGTGTTGGCTGGGGTGACATAGAAGAGTATAAGGGATGAGCCAGATTTGACAAGAAATGACGAGAGATACCTGTGTCACACACCTAGCACAGGCATTCATTGGCGGGCATACAACCAAGGTCATGACCCTTCCCTGTATTAATTCAGGAAAGTCACACAAAGGAGAGTAGTGATCCAGGCCATAGGAATGAGGGCTTGATTTGGTGGTACTGCATGAAAAAGGTCAAGTTTCACCTGTCACCCCTTGTACAATTAAAAAAAAAAAAAAAGTCAAATGCCACAGACCAGAAGATCATGTTGCCAGGAAGCTCTTCAACCTCCTTGGTGGGCACACCTGTGGCCCTGTGGGTCATTCAGGAACTTGGGAATAAACGGCCGGATGAGCAGGCTGGATCTCTCTCTGGGTTTTTTCTACAAGGGCTCTGGTGCTGCCAGCTTCCCATCCCACCCAGATCCCCCGGGGAACCAGGGATGAGTACCAGCCTGGAAGCCCCTCCTCTGATGGCATCTGAGGGGCCCTGGCAAGATGCCTGGTCCCAGCAGCAGTCACCTCTCTCTCTTTTTTTTTTTCTTTCTTTCTGGTTGTGCTGTGCGGCATCTGGGATCTTAGTTCCCTGACCAGGGGTCAAATCTGCGCCTCCTGCATTGGAACTGCAGAGTCTTAACCACTGGACCGCCAGGGAAGTCCCAAGTCATCTCTTGACAACATCCCCAGTCTTCCCCTCCCCACAGAGGCCAAGCATGGCTCAGGAGACTTTTGGTGAAGGAAGAAACAGGATGGACCTACCGTTCACTTCTCCTTGACTGCTACTGGGAATGGCCCTCCTGTCTCTGGAGAAAGCAGAGGAAGGCTGAGCGGGGCTGCAGGCTGGCTCTGCCCCCTTCCCACATCAGCCTGGATCTCTCTGCTGGAGGCTAGGTCAACCCCAAGTCTCCCAATGAGGTCCTGCATGGGCAAATACCTCCCTTATTTCTCTTCCCCAAATCCCTGAAGCCCATGACAGACCTCTACAAATTAGTGGTTTTTAATAAGACTCTAAACTATGCAGAGAAAAAAGTGTACTCATAGCTGAATGCAGCCACCCGGGGTTAAGGAGGGAGAAGGCTGTTGTTCTAGCCCCTCCAGGAAGGCATCTGGGCAGTGGGCAGAGCTCCAGACCTGGAGAGGAAGATCTTAGGGTGACACCCAGCTCTGCCTTTCCCAGCTGGGTATAACCCAGCAAGTCATCGAGCTCCCAAGTCTGCGTCCACACCTGTGAAATGGGATTGATGACGCCAGTAGCACTGGGCTGGGGTGAGTATTAAGTATTTCAGGGCCTGTGGACAGAGCAGCTCAGTGTCAGCACTAGAGAAGGGGGACCTATATGACCCCATTCAAAGGCTGACATCCTTTCCCGGGAAAAAGCTGAAGGAGGCTAGGGGAGGATTTCTCAGGGGCGTTATCTTCTGTTCACCTGCAAAGGACAAGGGAACAGAGATGACAAAAAGAGACTGGTGAGGAAGCCACATCCGGGGACAGCTGTGTGTGGGCAGGGGTGGGATACAAAGGGAAAAGACGACCCATAGCACCAGACACTATCTAGAGCCTCATCTCTGCTGCAATGTCCACGCTGAAGGCCTCCAGCAATGCCAAGCAGGCCAGCAGCCTCGACCTGAATATGTGACCTGAACATGTGTCCCACAAAAGTGGGGCACGGATGGTGTGACCCTCACTGGGGGCCTGCTCCCTGTCTACGGCTGCTTTCCAGCCTGGGGTCTTGTGATAAGGATCATGGCCACAACGCCCACTCCCACCAGCCTGAAGCCACAGAATGGGCTACCCCCAGCCCTGCCCCAAAAGCACCACCACCAACACCCCCCTACCTTCCTTGTGAGGGCAAGAGGGAGAATTACAAAGAGGGCACCAACACTGCAGGTGAGGGCCCAGGGCATCGACGTCCTAACCGCAAAGTGTGGCGCCACCTATCGGCCACTTCTGGGTTCCTTTCCCATCTAGCACCTCAGACTTCCCAAGATCAGAGTGGAGGGCACCCGGGCCACAGAAAACAACTAACCTTTTAAGGAAATGAAACCTTTCCATCAGAGGAAGCCACCCAAAGAAAGAGGCAACAGCCACCAAGATTGACTCATTTTTATTTTTTATAAAACAAGCTACAAATAGTCTCCCTCCCTCCTCACAAAGGAAAACCACAGAACACAGCCTCCACATATGTGTGAGAGAGAAGATGCCCAGGGGAGAGTCTGACTTTCTACAAGGAGGTGCTTCCTCCTGGCCAGAGTAGGGGACTGGGGTCTCCTGGAAAGTCCATCCGGTTCCAGCACGCTGAGCTTTCTGGTCCAAACTAATGGGCTAGGGCTCCCCTTCCACCTTACCGTGTTGGGATGGGGCCTCCAGTCACCCTAACGCAACCTCTGGGACTTTCATCCAGACAGCAAGAACCTTCTCCAGTCAGATGATGGGATACCGGGATGGGGTACGAGATGCACGAGATGTGGCCAGATTTCCAAAAGCAATCCATAGGGGCACCAGTCCTGGGCTACTACCCACCCTCCCTCACTGCTGCCACGCCTGCTCATGGCAGGGGTGCTAAGTGCCACGTGTTGCTCTTTGATGACTGTCAGATAGGCATGGTCACCCGGGCAGAAGAAGCTGGCATCTGACCTGAAGGCTGCCCAGCACATTGGAATCCACACTGGAATCACAGTAAAACGTCTGTGGAAAGCTAGGCCTGGATTTCCCCATAGCTGGGTTATTATCTCTGCACTTCTAGGCGAGGCAGAAGTGGGAGGCCCAGGATGAGCTTTGCTCTGGAACTGGCCTCAAGCCTGGAAGCCTTTAAGAGCATTTAAGGGAACAGGAAGAACCTCAGTACTGAGTTTAAAAAGAAAAAAGGCTGAGTTTCCCACAAGGTGGCCAACACAACTCTTCCCTCAGGCTTATGATGACCAGAGGATGGCAAGGGGAGATAGAGGGGAGTGGAAGTAAAAGCCTAGTCTGACCTTGGCCCTGGGAGCTGTCTCGGGAAACCTCATTCATGGGTTTGCAGGAGGTGAGAAGCCTCCTGTGGGTACTGCACTCACCAGGGCAGGCCTTCTGTCCACTTCCCTGCACTGCTCAGATACTAAACAGCTACTAAATAAAAGGCCCCTCTGTGTGTCTTTTCCTTCTTTGGCTCCCTTCTCATGCTTTACGTGGAGGAGATGCTAAACATGGGTGGAAATGTTTCAACTGACCCTAACGCAAATCCTTGGAGGACAATTTGCTCAGTGGGCCACCAGGACACTGTGCACCCACGGGGTCAGGGCCACTTGGGGATCCGGATGGCAGGAACACATGGGCACGGGAGCCCTCCCTTCAGGGGCCCCTCACATTGTCCCACACCCAGCCTCCCTTGAGAAGGTCAACCGTCAAGTGACTTGCCAGCTCTGACAGACACAGCAAGAGGCGGTGCCCTCCTCCCACTAGAAAAGAACTAATGGAGTCTGCGCTCTAACCACAGGGGTCGTTCTCCAAACAGAATCCAAGCGGGCTGGGGATGGAGTTCTGGGGTCCAGAAAGCTGGGCCGTGGGTCCAGAGCCCTCACAACCCAGAGCAGGAACAGGGAGGGGAATAAACAGACAGCAGTGCCAATGGCTGTACAAAAGAACTATACAATTTACATATATATTTATATACAGTATATAAATCTCTTTCTTCTCAGTCCCAACAAGACCCTCACCCCCTCAGAACCCTAAAAGTTGTCAGTAGCAGATCCAAAACCTTAACAATAAAAGAGAACGAACAGTCTTTCTTCCCTTTCCTTTTCCCACCGTGGTATTAGATATTGGTGTTTAAAAATGAAACCAAAAAGAAAACACACAAGTAAGAGTTATTAAAAGTGCAAACACGGTGGGCATCACTCATGTTACATGGGACGTGGCTGGGCTGTGGGCAGCGTCCAAGGTCAGGTGTCTGGTGATCCATCCTGCCTCCCTGGTCTCTCCACTTGCCCTTTGGTTTTCTGCTCCTTAGATGAGGCGTCCTACTGAGAAGGGAGGTATAAGTGAGAAGTTAGGGTTGGGTTTACGAGCAATCCAGCTACACACGTCCATTTCCTCACCGCAGCAGGCTTTTCTACCTGCTGTTAAAGACGGGGCTGGGTGGGACACAGGTATCCTGGACTTGCAGACAAGCCCATGTTTTACCAGCCCATCTTTGCCACCACGAGGCATCACAATGGCAACAAAATGAGGCTGCCATTCCAGAGAACTAGGTTTTGCCCAGTAAACACAGTTGGGGGGCGTGCACTCTGTACAAACCATCCTACTCCCAGATGCCGGCCTTTCAACCTGGGGCTGGGGCGGAAGTGGTAGGTGCTCGTTTATAGGTGGGAATGGTAGGATCCTTGTAGCACTGACTAACCTTTCTCTTGTGTCCTCAGCAAACAAATCGAACATGGGAGTCCAAGTAACTTGGCCAATCCCAACACTCGGCTGCACTACCGAAGCTGCATCAGGCGCCCTTAGAAAGGACCCCAGAAAGAAGGCAACTTACTGAGTGGGTTTTTGCCTGATCATTTTCCCTGGGGGAAGATGCCAAGACTACCACCTGCCAAAACAGGAACTTAGGACGCTTGAGTGGCCTTGACCCAGAGAACTGGTAGGGCTTCTTCTATACCTGGGCCCCTGGCCCCTCTAGCCCCAGAATGAAGAGGGCACTTGGGGAAGAGCCAGAGATTGTGTGGCCAGGCTTCCTGTTCTACCCGGGTAAACCCCTTGTTAGCCAACATCTTTAAACACAGTCCCTCTTCCCTAAGGCCAGGGCCCCCTCATTAGCTGAGAGGGGCTTTAGTGCTGATGGACATTTGCATAACCTTCTTGGGTCCTGGCTCTCCCAGTCGCAGAAGGTCAGGTGGAAGGAATCTTAGCCATCATCTGGTCCAGCCCCTTCACTTAACAAATCCAGAAACTGATGCTCAGAGCAGTTGAGGAGCTTAACGGAGGTCCAAGGCTTGCTCTGCGAACACCCACTCCACCCCATAGGGTGCTGATCGGTTTTGGAGGCTCTGCAGGGCCCAGGTCTCCTAAGGGAGGAGCAGGGAGCTGCAAGGCAGGCACACCAAGAGCTGGGCCAGCTCCACGTGGGCCCTGGAGGCTGTGTGATGTTGTGCACAGCCCTTAACCCCCTCTGGGTCAGTCTGTGGAGCAGGAATTAGGACCACAGCTGTGCTGCTTCTACTGTGCCTCTCACAGGGTTGCCTTGAGGATCAACTGAATCCACGGAGAAAGGGCTTGGAGGAGTGTAAAGTGCTGTGGGGGATACACGCCCACCCTCAGCTCAACCGCCCCCAACTGACACTAACATTCCTTAAGACCTGAGAAAAAAGGCAGAACACAGGGTGGGGTGGGGTGAGGGGTAGATACTGGTATATCCAATGTCACGGATGAGAAAACAAACTTGGAAAGATAGAGGGACAAGCCGAAGGCAGGCGGGTGGGAGGTGAGCCAGGTTGCCAGGCCCTGAATCCCATCTTTCATCTGCTCCAGCCAGAAGCTGCTTCTCTCAGGGGTGACAGGATCTGCACGTACAGAGGACCTCAAATAGTCCCGCCCACCACGCTGAAACTCAGGAGAGAAAACGTACAGCCGGCGGTAACCAGCTCTCACCCTGAAGGCTTACCGCACTAATCCCTTTACCAAAATATCGCTTCATCCTCAGAGCAACTGTATATGGTTCTAATAAAACAATCAAATTATCCCCATTTTATGAGGATGAAACCGAGGCTTGGAGATGGCGTAGCTTTTACGTGGTGAAGCAAACTCAGACCTGACTGTCTGCTTCTGGAATCATGCTCTTAACTACCAAGGAAGGCAGGGGAGAGAAAAGGTCCGAGCCCGGAGCAGGTGCCATCCTTGGGCGATTCATCGGGAGAGCCGGCAACTTTTTTCAGTGGAAGAACTGGGCTCCAGCCTGCCTGCTTCACAAGGTGGTGACAGTAATCCTAGCGATGGTGCTTTATATACTGGGAGGGGCCAGTTAAGAAAGACCAGCCCTCAGAACACTGTGCAGAGAATTCAGCTCCCCAGTGAGGAATCCGGTTGGTAAAAATGCCTGTGTTCATGGGGCATTTCCCGAAAATTCAGTCCCTCGCACCCAAAGCTACATTCACCCCCAAACTCTGTGTCCGCCCCACACCCGACTTCTGCCCCCAACTTGGTGTGCAAGCCCCTTTCAGCCCACCAGAGGGCGCTGCACAACACCAGATGACCAACATCTGCTCCATTCCCTACATACCATCTACCCAAGTGGCTTTTCTGCTGCCCCGCAGAGGACAGGGACCCTGCGAAGCTGCCGGCAGCCTGGGGGTGCGTTACTCTACTACTCCCAATTTCTTTTGTGCGTTCACCACTAACCACGTACTGGGCTAAGTTCTTCACAGGCACCAGCTTGTTAAACCTTCACACCGAATCTGCGAGGCAGACGCTATCATCTCCATTTTGCAGATGAGGAAACTGAGGCTCAGAGAGTTTGGGTAGCTTGCTAAAGATTACAGAGCTAGTAAGTGTCAGGGCTGGATGCTTCCTCTGGGTTCTGTGCACCTGGTGCCCCACAAAGCTTCAGAGGACAGCCGGGAGGCCTCCTTGAGCTCGGTGGACCCGAGGTCACCACACTCAGCCTCCCCTTGGCCGCTGTGTGCTGCACAGACCTGAACTACCAGCACGGGAAGGGGGTTGAGGGCAGAGGGGCTACAGAGCTCTGTGATTCCAACCCCACTGAGCCCAGAAGTGCTCCTGGGTGGGCCTGGGGTCTATACTAACATACAGTCTCTTTCCAATACTGGCCCTCAGCCTGTGCTCTGAGAAATGGGCACAGATTCCAAATGCCAAAGCGTAATGTCACCATACAGGACAATCCCTCTCCTATCCCTTCATCATTTGACAAGGATCTAATGCACTGTTACTGGGCGCCGTGCACCGTGCACGGTGCACTCTGCCTGAGGTTAGAAATTGAGAAGGCACACCCACAGCTACAGGGGAGCTGCAGGGGAGAATCAGGAACGTGGACTGCAAATGCAGTGTGATAAGGCTTCCGCCAGCGGCAATGATCTTATGAAGGAGAATAGTAATATTGAACTGCCACGGAGTTCCTTCAATGTCTCAGGCACTATGACAACTGCTCTGACTCACTGTCCCAGTGAATCAGCACAACAGCCCTATGAGGTGGATATTATGATTATTTCCACCAAACCCGGGATGCTGAGTAGTTTGTACTTGGGTGAAAGAACTAGTCTGTGGCTGAGGCAGGGTCCTGGGGACTCAGAGTCCTGGGAACACAGAGAGGCACCCTCATCAGACAGGGGTGCCCAGAGCGATGAGGTCACTCACCCAGGGCCACACGCCCCAGAACAAAGGCCAGAACCCAGTGACGGAGCGGGCAGGTCCCGAGACTGGGTACCTCATGGTAACTCAGCCACTTCCCCAGCTACCTTTTGGGTTTACACTGTCAAACAAGGGTTAGAATGAGGAAAAGCCCTTATGTCTCCTCCAAGGCAATCTCAGCATTTCCCAAGCTTCCATTTCAAATAAGTCAGCACCACCCGAATTGGTATCTTCAGCCCAGACCTTTCACTGGCACTACAGACCCTCTAATTCTTTGGGTGCATCCAACTTGACACGTCCAAGCCATCCTCGTCACCTTCCCTGTCCCCCTGCACCCGCTCGGCTCTTCCTCCCACGTTGCCCATCTCAGTGAACGGACCCACTGTCCAGTTGCCCAAACCAACCTTCATCCCTCTATGCACTCAGTCACCAAGGCCTGCAGGTCTACCTAGTCACCTCTACCCACTGCTCTGCATCCCCTACTGGGGGATGGCCTCCATCACCTCCTGTCTGGACAGCCACAGCCTCCTACTGGGGACTCTGCCTCGCTTATCCCCAATCCATTTCCCAAACTGCACCACAATAATTTTTAAGCAAAACTGATGCTCTTGTTTCTCTGACTGAATCCCTTCAACAGCTTCCCCACTGCCCTTGTATAGCTGAAACTCTCTCACCTTGCCTCCTACCCCTTCCCCTCCCCTTCCATCTTCAAACATGCATCTCAGTCACACTCACATCCTTCAGCTCCTCTAGAACTCTCCTCCCTCACCTCTGCAGCTTCACTCTTCATTTGCCTCAGCTCAGAACACTCTCCCCTCCCCTGATCTTTCTGCTTGGCCACCTCTTACTCATTGCTCAGGGATTGCTGTAGAGCAGGGGCAGAAAACTTATCTGTAAAGGACTAGCTGGTAAGTATTTTGCTTTGGTGGTCATGTACCATATACAATAGTCTCGGTTGTATATTCTTCTTTTTTGAAAATTACATCCCATTAAAAATAGAAAAACCACTCAGCTCACGGGCTGTACAGAAACAGGCCGTGGACTAGATTGGGCCCATGGGCCACGGTCGGCTGACCCCTGGTCTAGACATCACCTCCTTCCCAAGGTTTTCCAAACCCGTCTGCCCCTGAGCTGATGGGGGTGCCCTACGTAGGTTCCTACAATACTCTGCACTTGCTCCACTGTGACAGAGATCATTAGGTGTCCACCAGAATTCACGCTCTCCTCCTCTTCCTGGGTTCCCAGCCTTCCTTACTGTGGGGTGTGGTCTAGTGACTGAGTTCAAGCCAGTGAAATAGGAGAGGTGATGTGTGTCACTTCCAGGACCGGCCCGTCAACCCCCCACCACAGGCACTGCTCCAGGCTTTACGCCATCTGGCTGGCTGGGAAGGGAGAAGACCACCAGGGTGACCCTGGATGCCACATAATAAAGATGGCAGCGTCATTCTCAGCCTGAATCTCAGTGACTGCACACGAAGCAATCCCCACTCCTATTCCTTCCCCTGCACACACACACACACACACACACACACACACACACACACACACACCCCTAGGACCTGGAATCGTGGTGAACTATTATATGGGCAAGATGAACTAATATCCACTTATGGAGCTGAGTGAGCTGAGCTGAGCCATTACATGTGTGGTTCTACTTGTCACTGCAGCCTGGCCTATCCTAATACACCCTCATAGCACTTACCACAAGGTATGTAAATACTTTAGTATCTGTCTCCTCCATAGACTGTGGAAGGATAGGGACCTTATCCATCCATTCCTCCACTATATCAGGCGTCTAGCACGAAGCATAACACACTCCCAGTAAGTAGGTGAATAAACACGCACCTGGGACCTCATCTACTGGGGGAGCCCTTGGCCCCCGGGCCCGGGCGGGGCAAGTCCTAGCGGGCCAGGAGCATAGGCGAGCACTCACCTTCTTTGCTGACACCCAGGCAGCCCTTCAGCTCGGCAAGTGAGATGACCTTGTCCTTGTTCAGGTCACAGTAGTCAGTGAAACGCCGGGCGCATTTCTTGGGTTTGGCTTTCTTCTTCACGTAGCGCTTGAAGGGCTTCATTTCCCTCTTGTTAATGTCGTCGCTGCTGTTGCTGTCCAGCTGGCTGAAGTACCAGTGCACCACTCGCTCCTCCAGGGTGTGGCTGGGGTCTGGCTCTGAGAACCTGGGTCACGGGCAGACACCCCCATCCCCAAGCACACCGCTCAGGATCCTGCAGGAGCCACCAGCCCAGCCTCAGTTCCCTCCCACGTGCTCAGATGCCAGGGCTGCCGGCAGCCGGGCAGAAACGGCTTATCTGAGCCCAAGCCCTCCCAGCCCCAATGAGCCTGCAGCCGAATCAAACCATCCTTTCCAACTTTGAGCCACAAGACTGGACACTTCGTTCTTCGGGGGTCCCCAAGTAGGTGAGCCCGCCACCCCCTCCGCCATAGCCAGCAACGATCTCGTACAAGATGGATGCTCAAGACATATTGGCTGGATATAATTCACCTGAGAAACCACAAGGATCCAAACTGTCCTTCTCCCAGCCTAGTGTTGCTGCCACACGAGCTGCCCGTTACACATGAACTTGGCATCCAAATGAACGTGACTATGGGAAAGGGTGCTCAGAGCCTGCACCACCCACCCAGTGCCAGTCCAGGTCCTGGGAGGGCTTCCAAAGCAGGAGGCAGAGCCCCTGGCTTCAAACTGCTGTCTTGGCGAAACAGAGCCAAAAAAGTGAAACCGAGCAGCAACAGGTCAGTGTGAAGTTCCTGTGGGCCGTCCCTGTCAGGTATCAAGTGCGGTAAGAATTGAGGAAAGAAGGCAATTGAGATGGACGCAAACAGAGGTTCTACAGCTGGCAAGTCCAGACCTACTAAGCGTGAGTCTGTCCACATAGAGGTTTCAAGACAGGAGGCCCAGGGTGGACCCAGGAAGCCACATGTTAACTAGAACCCCCAGGGGATTCTGCTAAGAAGCACTGGGCTAGAGTAACCAAGAAAGCTTCCCGGTGTCGAGACGCACAGCGGTGACCGCATCTAACACAGCCCATGTATGCATGGTGACCGTAACGTGACAAGAGCAACGCCTACACATGTAATGTACACAAGGCCCACCCATCAATTTCATTTACTCATGCCTCATCTTTTCCCAAAAAGGATTCAGGGTGTTAGCTGAAACTTTTGAAGCCAATGATGCGTCTCTTCTAGAGGGGGTGACTGGGGTCTCTGGCCAGGAGAACAGAGTCACACGAGTCCCATGGTTCCTGCTGCCGGGGCTTGGCACGGAGTGAATATGGTCCACGCCCTTTTGTTTAAAGCCCTGGGTAACTTTCCTTTGGTTGGGGGACTAAGGCTGAGGTTGGGAGGTCCATACATTCAAATACTTAGTCTGCAGGGCACTGGGACAGACTACTTGACGACCATGGGTGAGAAGCATGGGCAGAGGGGCTCGCTGTCACACAGGGATCCTACACCAGGGATTCAGCGCCTGCCAGCACACTCTGAAGGTGTACCTGGCAAGAAAAATATTCAAGGCACTTCCCAGTGCCTTGGGGTTCTTCTCTAGGCTTTGCCGAGTTTTCTGGGAGGGAGGGGACCATCCCTGACACCTCCGCCATGAATGAGCCAGCAAACTCCCTCCCCTACCCCAACCCCCAAGTGGCCTCACCATTTAGGGAAAAAGATGTTTCATTACCAAAAAAACGCCAAGCATCCCTGTTGAATGCCCACTCCTAATTAAGTGGATTGCAGTCTTGGGCAGGTCCCCCTGGGCAACCCTGGACCAATTCCAAGAGAGCACAATTAGTGGATCTGCCAGCAGGACCTCATCTTGACAGGTCTGGCGCAGGGAGCACCTGGGGAAGGTGTGAGGGACCGTTTGCTTCTGGCCCTTGGGGAATCTGCTAGGTCTGTCATAGAAACCAGGCTTGGAAGGGCTTTCAAACAGGCATGGCTCAGACTGTTGTCTCTGCCAGTACATGGTTCTTTGGTGGTTTTAAGCTTCCTCTGCTTTCACAGCAACATTCACTCTCGAGCCTGCAGGGCGTACCAGGCGGGCCCCAGAAAATTCTCCATCAGGATGCTCGTGGAGCAGCAGGGAGGGTGGCCAGCTCCCTTGCAGGGCACCCTGCCTGCCCTCGCCTTCTCCTACACGCGAGGGAGGACCCAGCTGCGGGAGGAGAGCCGGGAGGGACCCAGGGGAGACGCTCCAGCTATTCCCACCCAGGCTTTCTAAGGCGGCCAGGGGAGGGTCTTCCCCCTCGGCCCCTCCCGTGAGGGGGCCACGAGAACCCCCCCCCCCCGCGAAGGCAGCTCTTCCTTTAACCTTTAGGCTCAGCATAGCGTAATGTCTACCTAGAGGCTGGAATAATAAAGCCTCACTTGCTGAGACGGGAAGGGATGAGGTCATCCCGCCTAGACGCCCAGCCAGGAGAGGCTCGCTGCCTCCAACACGTGTTCCTGGGCTCCCGCCTGCCTGCCCAGTTCTCAGCGACTCTGTTGCTGGAGCTCCCCGCACCTTCCTTTGGGCTAGGCTGCAGCAAGAAGCAGCTCTTCTCCCGTGCTACAGCCTCTAAGTGTTTCCTCTTATGCCAGAGAGTGACTGTCATTTGGGGGCTGCTCCGTTTTCCCTCCCTTCCCCGCCTCCTTGTCTGGAGAACCGTGTTCCTGCCGTCCTCACTCTCCCAGCAGGAGGTCCCCAGCCCAGAGTGCCCATGCCTTCTGCCTGCTACCCCCCGTATGTCCCCCATACCCCGCAGCCGAGGACACGCCCAGGAGACGTCCCCCGAGAACCCTGCAAGCAGTGCCTCTGCCTCCCTATAGCACTTCCCCAACCGGCAGCCTGCTCTGTGGGCCTGAGGGGCCTGCCTCTCCCCGCCCCCGTCCCCAGCTGGTGTAAGGCACTCTGCTTCTGAAATCCTTTGACTTCCAGAATCCCATGCTACCCCCTCCCCAAACATCAGAGCCAGGCTCCACACGTGTAGCTAGGCAGCGCTAGGGTCCTACTTTGGAAGCCAAGGCTTTGTCTAGGCCAAGCGCCAAGTACATTTAAGGCAAGAATTTCTTAGCGAGGGTGCGGGGCAGTGGGGTGGGATCATGGACCCTCAGAAAACGTAAACAAAGCCACAGTCCCTCTCTCTAAAATGCACATGCACCCAGAACTCTGCAGATTTTAGGGGTTTAATGGACTCCCTAAACCTCATCCAAGGTCACGGACTCAAGTTAAGAACCCTCATCTAGAGGGAAGGAGACTCCAGCCATGACCCCAGAAGAATAAGTCTGAACCTTCTGGAAGAAGATTGGGTGAGACAAAAGACAGTAACTGGGAGGGGCTTGGGGGTAGTTTTCATGCTTCCAACAAAACATACTAGAAAAAAGAAAACTACTGAAGGCATCTGGCTCAAAACGCTGAAAATGAGGTTTCTGGCTTCACAGCGGCCTCAAGTCCCCAAACTACCATGCTTCATGCAAGAACTAGTTAAGCCTGACATCTATCAGGAGTCCTGATTTAGCCAAACCAGCGGTGGGCACGTGTGAAAGAAGACACGAGAAACCTCTGTTAACTAAGGAGAAGCTAAGGTTTTCCCAGGGGAGTGCTGGATGGGGTGGGGCAAGAGAGCCTCCCTGAGTCTCCAGAAACCTCTCAAGCAGTCTGTGCTGGAGTCCTTTCCATCACAGCTGGACTCCGCACAATTTACCCCTGACCTCAAAGCCACAGCCCACTGAGCCCTCCAGCTCTTACAGCTTTCTAGCAGTATCCTTTAAAAACACTGGCAACCTGCACTCCCAGTTCTAGGGTTACACTGGCATCAGACTCCCGGCCTCTCTCTCACACATGCGCACAGAATTGGGAACAAAACCGCTGGAATTCAAAGCTGCTCATCAGGCCAGGGCTGGGGACCCTACGCTAGAGAGTGTGATGGTTCTTTAGGATCACTTAAGAGTGATGCCCAGGTCCTTGCTATGGGCCTCCCTACAGGTACAATTCCACTTCCATTAAAAGGCCTTATTGGGTGTGTAGAGGATCCAAGTTCCTCGGATATGGTGCGGAGAGACACAGTGCAATGTTGGCATCAGCCCCGCCTCTGGGCTGTTTTGGTGGCCGTCCTGTTGCCTCCCGTCTCCAGGGATGAGGAAAACCACTAGAGCCAGGTCCCTCCCTGGACTGGCCGGGCCCCACCGAGTCTTCTCCAAAATTAAGAGGCGGCAGGTGCCACCCTTCCCCTGCAGCCCTCTCAGTGTCGCTTCTGCAGCCTCAGCCCGCCGGGCCTTGGCTGCAACGCACAGCTGGAGAGTCAGCCCCTTTTACCACAAGGAAACTGGCGCTGGCCAAGATCTTGGGCCCAATTCCGCTGTCCCAAGCAGTTTTAAACAAGGTGAGGTGGGATGGCCTGGAGGCACGGGCCAAGCCAAGCAGGCCAACTGAGCCCCATCTGGAGCCGGGTCCAGGCCCTGCCAGCTGTGCGGGTGGGTAGAGTTGGGAAATGCCAAGTCAGCCGCATTCCAGCCTCCTCCTTGCAAGAACATCAACAAGTCACCGCACTGGGCAGGAAGGAGGAAGCCTCAAGACCCACAGTCTCTTCTTGCAGGACCACGGGAGGGGCAGCGAGGCTCACACGGCCCAGCCCAGCTCCTCTCAACGTTGACTTTTTCTAGGGTGGAGTGGAGAAAGGAGAGGGTTCCCCTGCTCTAGAAGGCTCTGCCAGCTAGGATCTCAGAACTCCCCCTGTGGGACTGATAAATGCTGATGGCGAGGCTGATGTAGCCGGTGGGGTGAGGGGCTGGGGGCGGAACTCTGCCTTCTGGAGCGGGAAGGACCAAGAGCATAATTCAGGGCTTCCCTGGTGGCGCAGTGGTTGAGAGTCCGCCTGCCGATGCAGGGGACGCGGGTTCGTGCCCCGGTCCGGGAAGATCCCACATATGCCGCGGAGCGGCTGGGCCCGTGAGCCATGGCCTCTGGGCCTGCGCGTCCGGAGCCTGTGCTCCGCAACGGGAGAGGCCACAGCAGTGAGAGGCCTGCGTACCGCAAAAAAAAAAAAAAGAAAAAAAAAAGAGCATAATTCAATGATCTAGCAACCCTTCACTGAGAACAGCTCTCATCTAATGATACCTGCAGGCCACCCCCTCCCAGGCACTAGCCACAGATGTTTCCATGGATACCCCATTCTACTTTGCCTATTTTTAGATCTGGGCAGCACTGCTTTCCCCCTAAATCAGGCTAGAAGACCAGAAAAGGAAGTAGATATCTCCCTCTTCCACGCCCTACATCCAGCAAGTCTTCAAATCCTATTGATTTCATTACTAAAGCTTCAGTAAATCATCCCGTCCGCCACAGCTTTAGTCCACATTCTCACCACCTTTCCCTCTGGTGTGGGCTGTAACCTTCCTGCCCCATTTAGCTCCCCTCCCCCCATCTGGTTTCCATACGAATGCCCATCTAGTCACATGCCTCCCTGTGGCCCTCTCTGGTGCGAATCACAAGACCCAGCATGATCTGGGCTCTGCCCAGCTCTACAGTCTCATCTCCTGCCTGTCCACAGCCTGCCTCCCAAGCTTAAACCTTACTCCTCACAATTCCTTCCACAGACCCTACCTCGTTCGTACCTCGCTACCCCTAGGGTCCCTCTGCTGGGATACCCTTATTCCTGGTCCATTTAGGTCGGGGCATTTTCTCACTCGTAAGTGAAGATGTGGCTGAAATGTCACCTCCTGTGGAAAGCCTTCTCTCACACGTCCTCCCTCCCCTGAGTCCCTGCAGGACTTCATCTGCCTCTGTTGTCACATTGGCTTTCCAGCGCACTCACGTGATTACATAGCTCTTCTCCCAGGAGCTCCTCCAGCCCGGAACCATGCCCTCATCCCTGTATGTCCCCAGAACCTAGCACAGAGCTTATGCCAGGGGTGAGATGTAAGAGTTTGTGCAAAGCTAAAATCTCCAAGCCTGACAGGTGGTGGTTTGGGGGGAAGACACCCGCTTTTCTGCTCAGCCCAAACTCCTCCCTGTCCCTTCTTCCCACTGTCCCCAAATGGGACTTTTTCCCGCTGGCCCCAGCTGGTGTCCAGCTTTAACTGCCAGACCCTGAGAGGACGCAGGAGGGATCAGCTGTGGCTTCTTTGACCTTGCGCTTGCAACCTCAATTCTACCTGAATTCACAGCCAAGGCCCAAACCCAGGGACCCTGGATTCCATAATTCTCTTCGCCAGCCCTGCTCCAGATGTGCTGCCCTGTGCCTTGGCTCTCCCACTGTAGAAGGGTGCCTGACCAGGGGCTGTCCACAGGGTGCCTTAGTCCCAGCCAGGGCGCAGTAAGGCCCTGGTGACAAAGAAGCATTACAGTGAACTTCAGGGCTAGATCTGGCCTCATAATTAGTCTTGAAGTCGTTGCTGGAGCCTCTGACGTGTGCCAAGAAAAAGAGGCCTTATTGAGACATCCCTCTCTGTATCTAACAGGGATCCATCCATCTATCCACCCATCCTTCTGGTTATTTATTCATTTAACAGATATTTACTGAGCACCTACTGCGTGCCAGGCACTATCGTGAGTTCTAGGAATACAGCAGGGAAGAAGGCAGAAAACGCTCCTTCTCTCGTTGAGTTCAATTTTCATTGGGTAGCGGAGACAGATACAAATAAACAAACCAGCAAAACATCAGATAGGGATAAGCACTAGGCTGAGAATTAAAAAGCGGTGCTGTGGGCTTCCCTGGTGGCGCAGTGGTTGAGAGTCCACCTGCCGATGCAGGGGACACAGGTTCGTGCCCCGGTCCGGGAAGATCCCACATGCCGCGGAGCGGCTGGGCCCGTGAGCCATGGCCGCTGAGCCTGCGCGTCCGGAGCCTGTGCTCCGCAACGGGAGAGGCCAAAGCAGTGAGGGGCCCGGGAACCAAAAAAAAAAAAAAAAAAAAAAGCGGTGTTGTGATAGAGGGTGACAGGGCTGCTCCTTTAGTTTGGATGGTCATTGAGAAGATGATATTTAAATGGAGCAGCAGGGCCAGTCACGGGAGGATGGGGGACTCACATTCCAGGCTGAAGGAGCACCTGGCTTGGAGGCCCTGGGGCAGGCAAGAGCTTGGCCTGTTTGAGGACCTGAGAAGGACCAGTGGCTGGGACATAATGACAGGAGGGAGCGGCATATGAGAGGAGGGTGAGCGCCAGCAAGACCATCCTGCACGGCCAGTTCGTGGTCAGAGTTCGGGCTTTTTGCTTTTTTCAAAATATATTAGGGAGACCTGAGAGGGATTTAAACTCAGTAAAACCGGTAATCCTGGCCAGCCACCTCCCTGTATAACTGACTCTTTCTCCTTCTCTCCGCAGGCCCACTCCCACTTCCTTGATTTCTAAACTATTTCTTGATACATCTTGTCTGTCTTTTGATTACAAGTCTAGCCTCCAGGTAACACAATTACCAAACGCGGTTCAAACCTTTCATTCTCATCAAAACCAAACACGGTCAGGCTCACATGAGCTTGAAATGAAAAACATGTTTAGGAAAGAATTTTTTTTTAAATTTCTCCCAACATTATATTATACCTAAAAGAGGTTTTTTGGAAACCACAGCAACAAAAACTCCCTTCCCTAATGACACACTGGGATTAAAAGCATTTACGAACTTCTTAGTTTTTATTTTCTGTAAAAATGTCTTCAGCCTGCTATCTGAGGGTCAAGTGTCCATCCGAACTTGCCCTGGCAGCGGGCCCACCTGTGATTGTGGCCTCCCGGCCCAGGATCTAGCTGGGTTTGGTCCTTTCCCTGGCACTGAAGGCTGCCTGGATCCGAGGCCAGGCCGGGCTCAAGGGCTGCGCTCCCGCAGAAGCAAGTGGGATGGAGGGTGAAGTCCTGTCTCCTTAGAACCCAAGTAGAAGCACCAGGCAGGCTCCCTGAGCAGTGGGTCAGAGCCAGCAGCCCTGGGGATTTGTGGGTGGAAAGCACCCAGACCTGGAATTGTTAAGGCCATGCCCCTTTCTCGTTTCTTTTTTCCCTCTCTTCTAAAAACCATAAATAGCTCATACCCATTTCTGCATGAAACATCAGGTATGTTTTCACATTCCAAGCATTAATAACAAAAAGGCATATAATACTGAATATGCCTTTTCATAATTTCCTCTCCCTCTTCCTGGAGGTTCGGACAGAGCCCTCTCGATTTTAGACTTCCAGTGGCTGAGCACCGTGGGCTGCCTCTGGGCAGTTCTCATCTGCCGACCTGTCAGACTCTGTCTCCATCTTTTCAGACTTATTGCTGTGCTCCTCCCAGGGGAGGCCTGGACCCTTCCACAGGGTGAGCAAAACAGAGCAGGGCCAGAAACCAGCCTCAGAGCTCACAGGACCATGGGGGCTGCTGAGAGCAAGCTCCCTGAACAAGCAGTTTCCTAGAGTGGCAACCCACAAGGCAGCCACTGCACTCACTGTGATGTGACATAAAAGTGGGTTTTCAGGATTGCTGCCCTTGTCTGCCTCGGGACACAGAACCACTGACAGCTGTGTTGGGAGTCCTGGTGCCCACCCCAGATACACGCCCTGCGGTTGTGCTGATGCAGTCATGCTGGGGCCCTTCCACCAGCCCGGGGCCCTGGGCCTGTCGTGGTGGCACTCCTTGCCCTCTGACAGCTCTGCCTCTGGGGAGATGCGGAGGGACTAGCGCTCCCTCCTTGGTGAGCCACGTAAGCTGAGAGTCAGGCTGCCCATCCCTGCCAAGCACATGGTACTTCCCGTTGCTAAGGAGCCAGAACTCTCCCTACTCCTGCCGTGCCTCCCGCTCTGGCTTCATAATGGGAAGCACATCTCACAGGCCCTTTGGGACCTGCATCCTCTGTGTCATCTACCACCACTGTCATCTCCTCCACCCCCTCCTCCATCCACCCCAGCTCAGCCATACTGAACTACGGACGTGCACTTTCCTGAGGTCACAATGTTCTTTCCTTTTTCCTGGAATGGCTTTCCTTCTTTTACTAGCTGAGTCCTACCTATCCTTCAAAACTCAGTATCACCTCCTCCAGGAAGCCTTCTCTGACTCCTCCAGACTAAATTAGCAAGCGCTTCTCTGTTCTTTCACCTCGGTTCTAGCATTTACCACACAGTTTGTATCTTTCTACAGCCTAGTATCCCCATTAGGCTGCATTCTTTGAAGGTAGGGACATGCCTCGCATCCTTGGATTCCCAGTCCTTAGCCCAGTGCTTGGCGTGCCATGCACGTTCAATAGTTCTGAGCAGAGGACAGATGAATGCATGCGTGCTCCGATCAACTGACCCAATGGGCCCAAATTAGTGAGCACCTGCGATGCTGGTCGCTGGGGAGCATGTACATTTCGGCCTCGGGGCAGGACTGCCTCGGTCAGCATATCAGCTCCTGAACTAAGTTGGATTTGGCTATGGCAGTGTCCAATCCCACTGCCCAGAGTCCCTCGGGATTCTCAGGAAGCCAAAATGGCACGCGGCTCCTGCCTTCTCAGAAAAGAAGAAAACCACCAAATGCTCTGGACTCCCTCCCTGCCATCCCTGTTCCCATCGTATGCCCATCCCCCTTCCTGCCATTCTGGACTCACTCCAATGCATCCATTTCTGAGACTGAAGTGCTGGAAGTCTCCAGACACTCCCAGACTTGCCTATAATCAGGTAACTACAAGCTAGAGAAAAGCAACTCCCAAAGACTAGAAAGGGGAGAGGGGCGGCGAGATTTTGGGTGGAAGGTGAGACAAAGTCACAGCTACGCAGTTTCAGGAAGAGGATCAACTTCCAGCTCTTGTTCTACCCACCCCTCCCCACTCTCCCAGGGACCCGCAGCATCTGAAAAGTCAGGGGCCCCGAGGTCCCACTGGGCTTGAGTCCCGCTCGCATTCTCACCTCCCACCTCCAGTGGGTGCTGCTGAGTTAATGGCCTGCACCATATCAGTGGTGAGAGCATCCAGTAGGCTGGTGATAAATTCCATTTTCTTCCCTTCTGGACAGCCTGAAAGACAAAGTGAGATTTGAAGGCAGATGCCAGGTAAATGATCAAGTAAACAGCTTCCTCAACTACCACTGTTTCCTCAACCTCTCCAAGTCCTTCTTGTCCAGCTAAATCCACTTTGGGAATTGTCCACAGCTCAGATGATTCTCATAAACCTCCATAGTTCCTCTACCCACAGCCCGCAAGGGACCAATAGACCAAACGGATAATAATGCTCTCAATGTTCTTCCATTCCTCAAATTTTTTGCTGAGTATCAACTCAGGCACTATGCTAAATGTTAGGGATATTATACACACGGTTCTTCCCCTCGTAAAGTTCATAGTCTACTGGGGAACTCAAGCTAGTTCTGGTACAGGAGGACGGAGCGACTCTAGCAGCAAGGACCAGGTGCTGAAGGGGCACAAGGAATGCAGAGAACTCCAAGGTCAAAGTTGCCTCAAGTAGATCCACCTGTTTACCTATCCAAGAACCTCCTCCTTTTTTCACATCTCTCCTCAACCAGCTTAGATTATAATTATCAACCCTCCCTTATAAGTACTCTCAAACCCTTTGTTTCTCTATTCCGCACTGTGTGATTCCAGCAAAACCCCAGGGATGGATGAACCTTCTCACCGATACGCCTTCTCCAAGTCTACACCCCCATAGCTGAATAGTGCTAGCGTAAACACCACCACGCAACTGGAGAGACGGTTTTCCTGCAAATTCATGACTACCAGCCCCAAATGGGCCCTCAACACTACCTACGATCCTCCTCTCTGCGGCAACTTTTTCATTCTCTGCTCTCTGCAAATCCCCTAGGCCTCCGGTTAAACGCTACCTTCTCAGAGAAACCACAGATTCTTCCTGTCCTTCTCCCAGCACCTCACTCTTTCCCTTCAGAGTACCTGTCACCACCTTTTATCTGTGTTTGGATTCATTTATTTGGATACTGTCTCCCCCACTAGACAAGCTTCACTTCGGTTTTGATCATTAGACAAACCCAGCGCCTGGCACACAGGGGAATCTCAATGGACATTTGTTGAAGAGATGGCTAGAAGGAGGGACCCTGGTCTCTACGACTCCATTCTCATGACAGAGTGACCTACAAACCTCACTTGGGAACCCCTAGACTTTCAGGAGCCTCTGTTTTCAGTCCTCCTTTGGAGTCCTGATGGGGAATAGTAGGCCCAGCTCCCGCCAGCGCTGACCTGCATCTGTGCTAAGACTACAGGGTTCTGAGCCATCAATATTTAGTACTCTTATTGTAACTCACTGACAGAGAACACTATAAATAAGAGAAACCCAACCCAGCAGCCATTTAGAGGTCCTGGGTCCCTGCCTGGGAGTCTGTGTCATACCCCAGTGACAGTTCTGGGCCACCAGGAATCATTGCTCCTCAGGACAGCCTTTCCCTGTGAGCTATCTTCTCTTTGCAGCCCTGGGGAAAAGGGTCCACAGACCCCGATCATTTTCCCAGTCACCCTTAGAGAAAGAACTGTAGAGCTTTTAAGGGTAGGATCTTAACCCAGTGACTACATTTTAAAGATAAAAAGGTAAAAGCAAGGAGGAGAAACAGTGTGCTCAAGAGCACAGGACTAATTAGGAACAAATCTCAGACTGGATGCAGATCCCATGGCTCCTGCGACGCCCCTGCCCAGTGTCCCCGCTCCACCTTACAGATGGGGAAGCAGACCCAGAGGAGGGCGCTGCTTCTGCATGATGAGGGCCTGGAGGAACAGGAAGAGGTGAAGGCACCAGCAAGGGGTAGTGTCGTCTCCCACCTGGCAGCTCCCTGTCCTTGAAGGGGTCGTCCACCTCCGCACTCTTGGCCCTGGCGTCGCTCTCACAACTGGGCATCACGTAGCTGAGAAGAGAGAGATGCAGGGGGTGAGGAGGGGCTGGAAACTGAGCTGACTTCAGCTCCTACTCCCAGCAATGATCCGTGTGGTCTCGAAGCCTAGATCTCCCAGAGCTGGTAGCGGAATATCTCCTGTACTGTCCAGCAGCTACAAGGCAATCCCAGCGTCGGTGTTCCCACAGAGACATGTTCAGGCATGTCATCTTAGCCAGTCTAGTAGAGCGCTGTTACCTTATGTCTGCACACAGGATCTTTTTGATCCATAGAACCTAGTGACTCAGGCAGGGCAATCACCTTCTCACTGGTGAACTGAGGTTCAGAGAGGTTACCTACTTTCCCAAGGTCGCCCAGCTAGGAAAGGCCAGACCTGTGACCAGAATCCAGGATACTGGGACCTCATCTGCCCACGATCAGAGATGCTGCTCCCCTAGTGCCTCGACTCCCACCAGGCCAGGACAATAAAGCCAGGAGATGTGAGGTGACAGTGTAACAGGAAGCTGGCTCTCCTACCCCAGGCTTCACCTGAGGGGTGAGGGACAGGACGGGCTCTGGGGGACTTACCGTGTGGAGGTCCCGGGCAGCGGACGCCCCGTGTCCACCAGCACACACCAGCAGTAGCCAGTGGATTGGTGGCACTGCACTGGCTTATAGAGCCCCCCTGGGGCACACTCGGGGATGACAATGCCCTCGCGGGGATTCTGCCGGGCCTCTTCCAGGGCGCTCTGTCTCTCCTGGTCACAAGAGTGAACTTTCTCTGCAAGAGAAGACACAGCCTGTGGTGATTCCCACTCCTGTGCCTTCCCTGCCAGGACCTGGCCTGGCCCTAGGGAACTGATGGCTGGCTGGTGAATCACCAAGGGGAGCTGTGTCTCCCACACCAGCCCTTAGTGAGGGGCTGGAGGCCCAGAACCTCCCTGCGGCCCCCTAGAGGCGGGGGCAGGAGACTGGCTGCCCTGCGAGCTGACAGCTGATGCAGGAATGCCCGTGTGTGTGGACACTCTCCCAAGCCCAGACGCAGCAGGACAGGGCCAGGCCACTGTCCTCAGGGCAGGGAGATGCTCTGGTGCTCGGCACCCAAGGGGAGCAGAAGCAAGGCCCAAACCCACTCCCTTCCAGGCCTCCAACAGGGCTGAATGGAGCTGAGCTGATTGCACAACACTGCTTCCATCCAGTGCGAGAGAGAAACAGGCCCTCAGGAAGGTGTCTGTACTCAGCGGCCTCACGAACTATGTCAACGTCTCTGAACAGCCAAACCTGGTTTCTCCAGAGTCAGGCCCAGGCTGAGGCAGTGCATGGTGTCCTGTGCCAGGCCTGGGGGCCTCAGACCCACACGACCCCTGACCAGTCAACCTGCCTGACTTCCCTTTCTTGTTTTTTTGTTGATTCTGTGGGGATTTTTTTTCTTTTTTCTTTTTAGTTATTAAAAATAAATAGCATTAAAATAAATAAATAAATAGCATTAGGTTCCTTTTCTTGTTATAAAGAAAAATTTGAAAAAACCCTAATCCCACCAAAGTTAAACACTACTTGCCCTGGACCTTTTCTTTTTCATGTACACACACATAAATACATATGCACACATCTACTGGGTTGTTTTTTTTTGGTTTTTTTTTTGTGTGTGGTACGCGGGCCTCTCACTGTTGTGGCCTCTCCCGTTGCAAAGCACAGGCTCCGGACGCGCAGGCTCAGCGGCCATGGCTCACGGGCCCAGCCGCTCCGCGGCATGTGGGATCTTCCCGGACCGGGGCACGAACCCGTGTCTCCTGCATCAGCAGGTGGACTCTCAACCACTGCACCACCAGGGAAGCCCACTGGGGTTTTTTTGACAATAAAAGGGACCACATCATATACCTGTACTATCGTTTTTTTGATCTACTTATTTCTTTATTTATTTACTTTATTATCACTTTATTTCTTTCATGAACAAAATTCTACAACTTTCCCCTTGAAGAAGATGACAGGAATCGTCTTGGGTATCCCATGATATTTTCACAGTGTTTTACAAAATACCATTCCGAGAGCCAGGAATTTGGTATCAGCAATGTGGAGATTCATTCTCTTCACTGAACAACAGCACAAATGATGAAAATACAGAAGCTCAACTCTGAAGGAGCCAAACCCTTTGAAATAATGACTGTGGTAATGATACACATATGAACCAGACAGATGTTGAAGCAGACTGTAGGTGCACACAGAGACGCAAAGCAGCTCCACGCTGTCTTAGAGGGAAGTCAGATGATGGGAAATGATTTTTGTCTCACTCTGAGGAAAAATGCTGAAAAAATTCTCATTGCAGGGTGAGGGAATATTCCCTTAAGCGCATAAAAATATCTGAGATTCAGGGGACAGGTATGAATAGTACATTTGCTATTAAAATATAATACTGATCTGGAAAATGAAAAAAAAAAGAACTATTGTTTTCATAACGCAAACACAGTGAAACTAAACAGAATCTCCTTAGCTAGAGGAACAGCAGTTTAAAACAGTTGACAGGCACTAGACTCGAGATTCTGAGCCCAATTATAACTACCACCAGAACTGCCCCTAAGAGGCAGCTTAGGAAAGAGACATAAACTGATTGGAAGAGGGGGGCCATGGGGAGACCTGGCCTGAAGACCCAGAATTTTGAGTTCGGCCCCTGGCTGGAATGGAGCCTGGCACCTTCCAGGGGATTACGCAAGAGTTTTTCAATAGCTCTCCCAACCCCAAGTTGGTAACTTTCTTTTCCTACCTCATAGTTCATGCCACAGAAAAAGTGACAGAGGAGAAAAACCAAAGGAAAACAGCTTTTTACCGGCACCGCGTTCGTGTAACAACGTCTGACAGAGGCTTTAAATTAAGATCTTCCAGGCCAACATTCTAAAGCCATAAATCAGATAGAAAGCGAGATGCGAACAGAGGTGGAGAAAGCTTCCCCAGGGACAGAGCAAATGATGGATCTGACTTCACAGCATTGGGGATCCTGAAACTGCGGGCATGTGGAGACCAGCCAGCCGAGGAGAGGTGGGAACCTGTGGTTTGGGGACTGTCGACAGATTTCTGGAAGTCCTTGAAGTCTGTTCTGAAAGGTTTGTAGCCCGCTTCCATAGAGGTTGCACGGAGTTCCACAGAGAATACTACAAACCATACAAACGGTGACGCTCGATAATTTGGAAAAACTGGGGATTAGCGTGGAATTCGAGAGAAGGTGAAATGCAGGGTTTCTTGTCTTTATTTGCTTGTTTATTACTTTATGACGATCCCTGCAAGTTCAAGGGCTCCTCTAAGAAAGAGACAGGAAAGGTTTATAATCATAGCACCAACTGTTTGTGAAGAAAACACAGAGAGTTTGTCTTCCGACAGAGGCAAAAATCTCCCCTAAGATCCTCTTCATACTACTAATAGTCAAAGCAAATATTCATGGAGGAGCATGAGCCAGGCAGGCGACAGACTAGGGGCTTTACTTGCCGAATCTCTTTGTCCGTGTGAAGTAGGCACCGTTATTATGCCCATTTTGTAGACAAGGAAGCTGAGTCGTGGAGGGATTCATGAATTTTCCCAAGTTCACTCACCCCGGAGAGAGGAGGGCTGGGGCCCCAGTCAAGGGCTTCTGACGGTCAAGCCTGTCTTGCTGAACTCTAGACAGAGGTTACTGTCTCTAATTATTTGCTTTTGGGGAAAAATACATTTATTTTTATGGTGTGAAGATCCGCCAGGCCAGTCGCTTTGTAGACTGCCCCAGATCTGCTGCATTTGAAAGCAAATGTGTAAAAACATGTGCTTATCCATTTGAAACAGCACTGCTTCTTCTGAACCAACGATATTCTCAGCTTAAGCACACTCCAAACCTTGTACCCTCATATTTTTCCCTCTTTGCCTTGGAACTGGAACACCTAAGGCCAGATTTGTAACTCACCCACCATTTACAGACAGTAACATGAATAATAACGGCTAACAGCTACCTGAGTATTTATGGTGTGCCCAGCTCTGTACTGGGCACTTCCACTAACTCACTTCAAACTCATCACAAGCCTCTAAGAAAAGTGTTATTATTATCCTCACCGAGCAGACTGGCTGTGTGATTTCCTCAAGGTCAACAACTAGGAAGTGGCAGAGCCTGGATTCCAGCCCAGGCAGTCTGCTCCCAGGCCATGGTCTTTACCTCTCTTTGATATCAGCTCTCACTGCCATGTGCTAGCCTGAGTTTTAATCTAACCTATGTTTTTCTTTTACTTGGTGTGGTAGATCGTTACAAAATGGTACCAGTGAATTGCACCTCCCTGTATTCAGGGTAAACCCCTCCCTGCTGACTCTGATTTGCTTTGACCAATGGAAAGGACGGGGGTGACAGTGTGTGGTTTCTAGACCTCGGCCTGAAGCTTCCACTTTCCCTTTCTTGGAATCCACCCTGAGACCACCACATAAGAAAGCCAGTCCAGCCTCCAGGAGGATGAAAGGCCACATGGAAGAAAACCAGAGCGGCTCAGCCCACTGCCAGCACCAACTTCCAGGCGTGTGCGTGAAGTCATCTTGGACACCCCAGCCCAGCTGACCCTCCAGCTGGACAAGTCCAGGAGTCAGTGCAGGTAGAATCAGTCGAGGAACCACCCAGCCAATCCACAGACACGTTAGAAAGAATAAATTATTCTTGTTGTAAGCCACTATATTTCTGGGTGGTCTCTTACACAGCAGTAGATAACTGAGACACTTAGACTTGCTCAACTCTTTATCAATTTATCCCGTAAGTATTTCTGCAGCCCTCTCAGACCCTTCAGCCAATCAATCAATCAATCAACCAATTATTCCTTCAGTGCTTCTCCAGACCTCATGCGAATACTAATCGGTACATACCAGGGGGCATAAGCTTATTCTGTATCTGAGGACCCAGAAGCCAGCCCCATCCTTAGGGCCACTGTCACCCTCTGCCCTTCTCAGTCACCTCCCAAATGAATCTTAAAATTCACAACTATCCAGATACCAAGAAGGCACCTTCCAGAATGCAAGCCAGGGGATCTATTTCAAGGGCCTCTTCATGACCACTGGTTCAGAGAGGAAGCTCCTCAGAAGTGGATACTCAGTGTTCTAAAACATTCAGCCTCTGCTCAGGGAAGTTCAGGGAAAGATGACAAGATTAGAAGGTCTGGCCTGATAACTATGAGAATGGCCCGGGACCATGTGTAAATACTTGGAAGACATAAACAGCGGGGGACAGGGAAATATCAGGGCTGTCCAGGGCGACAAGGGAATACCTAGCCACACGTTCTTACACACCCATGCACACCCAGCCCCTCTAATCCTATTCCGAGAACCAGTGAGAGCCGGTTCACTCCTCACCTGGCAGTGGGTGGTTTAAATCTCACAAAACTCTGACTGCCTGAGAGAAGAAACACAACAGAAAAGTAGCCTGTGGAAGGAACGAGAACGTGGTCCAGCCCTTGCCACCGGAAAGCACACAGTCCTCTATCCCAACAATCACACAGCAGCCGAGCAAAGCAGGGCTAAGTCCGGGTGGGAGTGGGCAGGGAGGGGGACCGGGGAGAGGGAGACCGGGCTGAGCCAGACAACACAAACCCTGTGTGCAGGCCCAGGGCACGGGTTCTCAGGTGTCCAGCCAAGACGGGAGGAGCGTGGAGGACAGCCCCGGCTGCTACGGCCAGCCCCTGCCTCTGTGCCTCTCAGTGACCTGTGGTAATTAGGAGCAAAGGACAGCGTGGACAACCTCAACCCTCAGCTAATCCCCAATTTTGATTTTAGCCCACAGTTTATCCTTTGTTT